TAATTTATTAGCTGATTCAAAATGTTTTTGCTTTGCTGCTTTTATCTTATCTTTCAGTTTGTCCAACTCTAAAAGATTAAGCTGATGTTTTAACAGTATTATCTGTTCCTTCGCCTCTCTAGATAGTAGGTTATTTTATAGCTGTTCCTCAGCCTTTGTTAGTTTATTTATTAGATCACCCCTTTCTTATTCTTCTTTTTTATGTTTAATGGCCATATGTTTTATAATAAGACCTCTTATAAAGGCTTTAGCAGCATCCCAAATTGTTTGAAGTGGCATTCCCGGTGTCTTATTTTCTTGAAAGAAAAAGGTTATTTCTGTCTTAAGTTTTTGTGTGAATTCAATTTCGTTTAAAATCTCTGATCTCATCATCCACCGTCTTCTATTTTTCCCCTCTTTTTTTAATACAGCTAGTACTGGATTATGGTCCGCCCAATCATTCGGTAAAATTCTAATTTCTTCTACTTGGGAATTAAGTTTTTGTGTCATCCAAATCATGTCCAATCTGGACCACGATTTGTGTCTAGGAGAATAATAAGTGAATTGCTCTACCTTCCGATTATGTTCACGCCAGGTATCTTTCAGTCTTAATTTGTCTCTCATTTCCTCACAAATGGCTGGTAAAATCCTTTTATTTTGTCCTCTATTTCTTTTTGGGGAGTTTTCTCCTGTTTTATAATCCTGAGTCCTATTGCTAATTGCATTAAAATCACCCATGAGACATACTTGCTCGTATTCCAGTTCTCGGATTTCTCTTCGTAATCTTCGGAAGAATAATGTTTGTTTAGTATTGGGGGTGTAAATTCCAATCAATAAAATCTTATTTTGTAATAATTCCACCTCCAATATTAGCATTCTTCCCTCTTCGTCTGCGAATATTTGTTTCGGTGAGAGATATTCTTTTACAAATATTGCTACTCCTCTTTTTCTCTCCTCTGAAGCTGCTACAAATAATTTCCCTGCTTTGGGGCATTTCAATAAGTTTGTTTGTGACAGTTTAATATGAGTCTCTTGTAAACATGTTATATCTGCTTTGGCTTTAGTGATTTTAGCTAAAATACGTCATCTTTTGGTTGGGACATTGAGACCATTGACGTTCACCGTCAGTAATCTCACTCCTTGATTCATTTCTATCTATTAATCCCTTTAGTTTTAGCTGCTAATCTAATCTCTACCCCGTATTCTTCTACTCCTCCTTCTTCCCCCTTCCTCCCATTTCGTTTCCCCTTTCCGTAATACGCTTGTGCTCCTCTTTCATTTCTCCACTCCTCTTTCTGCTCTCTCTGACTCTCTTTGACTACTTCTTTGTCTCTTTCACTTTCGTCAGATTCAAAAAAGTTTTCGCAAAATTCCTGTACATCGTGTATGTTCTCAATTTTAAGTTTCCGCTCTTGCCATGTCACCAAAAGTCCTTCTGGTAATAACCATCTGTACGGCACATTGTGTTTCCTCTGTTGTGAAGTTATGAATTGGTAATTATGTCTCTGCTCTCTCACTCTTCTAGGGATCTGTTTCAAAATTGTGATCTGACGTCCTTTGTATGTAACACTCTGATCCCTAGCTTGTGGAGATTGTCATCTCTTAACGCCTTTTTAGTTAGCCTCACGTGTATTTCTCTGGGCAGGTTATAACATCTCGCATAATTAGTATAGACATGATATGCTTCATAAATATCACCACAAACTTCTTCTTTTTTCCTCCCCACTACTTCTGCAATTACTTCTCCCACAATTTCATCCAGCTGTTCCTCTTTGTCCTCGACCACGTTTTGGAGACATGAGAAAAAGGCGGATTTCTCCATCTCTAAGAAGACTACTTCGTCCTCAAGTTTCCCCACCGCTTGCGCACATTTCCTTTCGCATTTATCAATCTGGGTTTCAACTCTTTCTGTAGTTTTTTCCACCTCTATCAATCGCTCCTCGTGTTCCAAAATAGTTGTTCTCATTTCTCCCAAAGTCTCTTTTATTTGTACAATTTATCCTCTTAGTCCACTCATCTCCACTTTCAAATCATCAAAGTTTTTAGAAATTGATTCTTGATTTTTTCCCATTATTTCTTGGATATTTTGAAACATCGCCTGCATTCCTTGCATCGTGATTGGTTTCTCTGCTATTGGTAAGTTTTCCGATGATTTCCTTAATCCTGGAGGCGTTGTTATTGGAGAAGATGCCACAGTAGAGGCTATATGTTTCTTCGCCACTTTTGTGGATGTCACTGTGGTAGACATGTTGGCTAAGCAAAGAAGGTTTTTCCAAATTATCATGCACAGATATTATTTAAATTACTTAAATTAATACTCCCCTTTAACTAAGCTCTTACTGTTATTCAATCACAATTCTATATAATTATTAATCAATTCTAATTTATCTTATCTATCCACAATTAAATACACTCTAAACGTATATATATGATACTAAGTAGTAAATCAAAACAGAAAAAAGCAAGCAAAAAGGTGAATAGTCAATCAATCAATAATCACTATATACAATTAATAAATATTAAAAATATTGAAAGAGCATATATAAGTTATTAATTAACTCTTCAGGCGGGTTTTAATCTCCAGTCTCACTTTGATTAATTCAGTTCATTAGAGTGATTAAATTACACCGGAAAGGGCTCACTATTAAGGCTCCTGGGAGGAAGGGGGTTCAGGAGAAGATTTACCCCCTGATCATCACCCACTTCATACAATTAGTAAATCCAAATTTATTGTTCTTTTATTCGTTGTAATTCAATATGCCAATTGATTCGTACTTCCGTTTCCTTCCAATTCCACAGTAGCAAGATGGTTGAAAAATTAGTGAGTAAAAGCTTCCTTCACTTGTAATCTCAGCTGCCGCTATTATCTCCAGTCGCTATACAGTCCCTTTAATTTTTAAATCAGTCTCTTTCTTGTTTCTTCCCTATCGTTCCGTCCCGTCTCCCTGTACCGGTCAAAAGGAAACGCAGTGTCATTGGCTTCGGGGCCGCTGTTTTCGCGGCCCTCTTCCTGTCCTCCGGATCCTTGGAGCTCACGCTTCGTTGCGGCGAGGGGTCGCATTCCCCCTCCTTGCCTCTGAAGAAAGCCCCTCTGCTCTCCCAACCTCTCTGGGGCTGAGAACGGCAAAAAAAAAAAAAAAAGCCGCGGAGGGTCTGGAAAATCATTCGTCGCTGCAGAGCTAACGCAGCACCGATCTGATAGCTGCACCGGAAGTCCCAGAGATGACCTACTTTTAACTCCCATTATTTCAATTTGAATATATAGGACAGATTCAGTTTAAAGAACATAATTCCATAAATAAAAGAATGTCCAAAAGGGCTTTATAGATCATAACCAAGACATTAAATTATATATGGAAACCTACTATATATTATATAATATAGTATCTAAAATACAGGTGTTATCCTGCTATAAAAATGGTTCATACTTGCCAGCAAACAAGCTGACAGTTTCTGAACAAACTGTAGTTTCTAAATCTTTAACGTCTGAAATAGAGTTATAGTAATTCAGTCATGCAGTGATAAATCAGTATTACTAGGACTTGTTTAGATTTTATTTCATCTCATCAGTCCTTTTAGATATCAGACACAACAAAGAAATCCACAGTATCTCCTGCTTGGCCAAGGTCAGAGATGCATAAGTATCTTCTACATCTTCAATTATTACTGCACCTAATATCCATTGCCAACTAATAGACAACTTCTCCCAAAAGTTTCATATGGTTATTGACCAACAAAATCAATGGTTTGTAATAGGGACAAATATCTGTATCTTGGGTGTAGGATGAGGATTAAGGTTCGTTCTTTGAGCTTGTGGGTTGGTTTCCAAACATTTTGTTAGTCTCTACCCACACTGACACCAAACAGTATTAGTTCAATTGGAGAAACACAAAATTCATCAGCCACACTACCACCTGCCATGCTCATGAGTTCATTGAAGCCCGGCACTCCACAAGTAATTCCATCAACAGACTCATTGACCAACCCATGAACCCCTCAGAATCCAAATCAACTGCACAGCCAACCAGAGACAGCATCAATCCTCAACCAACTCACACAACCCCCCTCCCCACCAGCAGTTCACTTCCCAATGAACCTGACCTCCTTATCATAAGACCTACTGATGACTTGCAGCTGACTCATTACAAGATCCTCACTTGACACATCCATACCTGAAGCCATTATAAACAGAAGAACACTGACACTGACATCCGTAAACTCTGCTGAAAATGTTACCTAGCCTGGTAACAAAACATTCAGAAATCAACCCACAAGTTCGGAGATTGAACCTTTACCCTCAAAATGTATGCTCCGCCCACCAAGAAAGGCCAAGGGACTTCCTATTCTCTACTAGCTGGAAGTGGAAGGTGTACTACCTCTATAAAACAACGTTAACTTTCATAGGCAATCTAGAAGGACACTATAGTTCATGATATCAAATACTGCTGAGGAGTCTAAAAGGACACATTGCTCTCATCCATATCCACATCTAATAATGTTTTCATCATATAACTGAGCCTAAAGCATCATTCAGCCGGGATTTTCCATAACTACACTACCTTCTTTCGAATGCCCCGCCCCCCCGAAAATTGGAAACTTGCAGACATTATGCTGTATATGATTTAATAAATGGTTTGTTCAGGAAGAGGCTTTTGAACTTAAAAAATATGAGATGAAATTGTTTTTTGTTTAAGGGATTCCTGTTTGAGAAATACAACTTAAAGTGTCTTTTTCTGAATATGAATGAGTTAAGGTAGTCTTAGATAGAACATTGGTATATTTTTAAATGTTTATTTACTAGTTCATTGAGTTTGTTTTACTTTGGCATTTATTACCAAGTCTGTAAACTGTAACACCTAAAGTCCTGATATAACAATTTTATATATATATACATACATACATACATATATACATACATATATATATATAATCGTTCAATTTCACTTTTTAATATGTTTATTATATTTACTTTAAATTGTCTTTGTTGAGACCTCTGATTTGTACTATTTTTAATGTTACAGAAGAAAATTCACAGAAACAAACAGAAGATTTTGGAAGTCAGTTTACCGAAATTTTCATTAAGCAACATGAAAATGTCACTCTTCTGCTGACTTATTTAGAGGTGAGAATTGTTTTTTTAAAATTATTAAATAAGTATGTCATTTAACTGAGTGACATTGTCATAAATAAAGTATAGCAGAATAAAAGAATTGGAAGGGCCCTTGGAGGCCTTGTAATCTAACCCTCTGCTCAAGCAGGAGACCAGGGTGGATAAAAATCAATGATTTTTTTTTAAAAAATCAGATTTTTTTTATTTAAATCGGATTTTAAATAAAGCCAGTTGCGTCCCTTTCTGGATCGGGACTCGTTACGCACAGTCACTCATGCCCTTGTCACCTCCCGCCTGGACTATTGCAACGCTCTCTACATGGGGCTCCCCTTGAGGAGCACCCGGAGGCTCCAACTGGCGCAGAGTGCGGCCGCGCGGGTGGTAATGGGAGCAACATGGCGTTCCCATGTAACACCACTCCTGCGCGAGCTGCACTGGCTCCCGGTGGTCTTCCAGGTGCGCTTCAAGGTTCTGGTTACCACCTTTAAAGCGCTCCATGGCTTAGGACCCGGGTACTTGCGGGACCGCCTACTACCACCAATAGCCTCCCACCGGCCGGTACGCTCCCATAGAGAGGGGCTCCTCCGGGTGCCGTCAGCCAAACAATGCCGACTGGCGGCCCCCAGGGGGGGAGCCTTCTCTGTGGGGGCACCTACTATCTGGAACGAGCTCCCCCCAGAGATACGGAGGATCCCGGATCTGCGCACCTTCCGCCGCGCCTTAAAGACCTTACTATTTCACCAGGCCAGCCTGGCCTAATTTTCCCCCTCTTTTATAAAAGATTTTTTAAAATTTTAAATATCTTTTGTATTTTATATATTCAATTTTAAATTGGTTTTAAAAGTTTGGGGTTTTAAATTTGTCGGGGCCAAAATTATTTAATTTGATTTTATTCTATTTTTAAATTTTGTATTGTATGTGTTTTTATTGTTTGGCTGTGCACCGCCCTGAGTCCTTCGGGAGTAGGGCGGTATAGAAATCTAATAAAATAAATAAATAAATAAATATATTTTTTTTAAATTTAAATTGGATTTTTTTTATTTTTATCAAATTTTAATAAAAAACTTTTGGGGTAAAAATCTATCATAAGATAGTTTTCTATTTAAGATACATAAATAATTTAGTTTATTCAGCATGAAATGGAGCTTAGTTATGTAGCATGAGGCTGTATATTCTGCAACACTGGGACTATCGGTGAGTCAACGGTGGGTCAAAGGAGTAGCAGAGATGACAATTGCTCTTTAAAAATTATGATTTAAATCGAGTTGATTTAAATCAAGCCTTTTATTTAAATCATGATTTAAATCAAATCCACCCTGCAGGAGACTCTATATTATTCTGGACAAATGGCTGTCCAGTGTCTTAAAACCTCCAGTGATAGAGCACTCACAACTTCTGGAGGGAAACCAGATTAATTGTGATTAATTGTTCTCACTGTCAGAAAATTACTCCTTTAATTCTAGAATTGATCTCCCTTTGTTAAGCTTCCATTCATTACTTTTTGTCTTGTCCTCAGGTGCTTTGGAGAATAGGTTAACCCCCTGTTCTTTGTGACAGATCTTCAAATGTTGGAAATACTATTATTATGTCACTCTTAGTCCTTGATGTTGAGACTTCGATGTTGATGTTGAGACTTTGAAAAAAGTGCAGAGAAGAGCAACTAAGATGATTAAATGACTGGAGATTAAAACGTTTGAAGAATGGTTGCAAGATTTGGCTATGGTTAGTCTTTAGTAGGGGTGTCCCTGCTCTAGACTAACCATAGACTAACACCCGCAGGATGCTTAGATTTGGCCCGTGGAACGGCCTTGGAAACAGCAAAGGACTGGCCCGTGGTGCCTCTGCCATGTCTGGCCTTCCCGAACTCCATTTTCACTGATAGAGGATTGCAGGATGCCGTTGCAGCTGAAAACTGAGCTCGAGAACCTGTTTTCATTGGCAGAGCACTTGGGCCACCATAGGTGCCCCCGACACAAATGACATCAAGCTGGCCATGCCCCCCCCCAGCTTCTTGAGGTCAAACACAACCTTGATGTGGCCCTGAATGAAATTGGGTTTGACACTCCTGGTCTAGAGAAAAGAAGATTAGGGTGACATGTTAGCAATATTCCAGTATTTGAGGGGCTCCCATAAAGAAGAAGGAGTCAACGTATTTTCTAAAGCACCAGAAGGCAGGGCAAGGAACAATGGATGGAAACTAATCAAGGAGAGAAGCAGCCTGGAATTAAGAAGAAACTTCCTAACAGCGAGAACAATTAACAGTGGAACAAGTTGCCTTCAAAAGTTGTGAGTGCTTCATCACTGGAGGTTTTTAAGAAGAGACTGGAAAGCCACTTGCCTGAAATGATATAGCAAGGTGTTGGACTAGAAAACCTCAAAGGTTCCTTCCAACTCTCTTTTGGATTGAAATTGAATTCTGTTCATTAGACTAGACATACCCAGTTTTGCAACAGTTTATCATATGTTTGAGCTTCCAGCTCTCTAATCATCTTTATTGCTCTTTGCACTTTTACTAGACTCTCAATTTCTTTTTTTGTATTGTGGTGACCAAAACTGGACACAGTATTCCAAGTGTAATCTTATCAAAGCAGTATAAAATAGTACTAATACATCATGTGATTTTTGAAACTATCCTTCTATTGATGCAATCTAGGATTGGCTTTTTTGGCAGCTCCAGCATGCTGCTGGCTCATATTTAACTTGTTCCCACTAAGACTTCTAGATCCCTCTTACGGTTACTGCTGTTACAATGTACTGTACCTGGGTAGGTAGTCCTTGACTTACGATCACCATTGGAATCAGAATTTCCATTGCTGAGCAAGGCAGTCAATGTGAGTGGTGCCCAATTTTACAACATTTTAAACCAGGATAGTTAAGCAAATTATTGCAGTTGTTTAGTGAATCATCCAGTCGTTAAGCAAATCCAGGCTTGCCCAATTGAGTTTGCTTGTCAAAAGCCAGCTGGGAAGGTTGCAAATGGTGTTCACATGATGCTGGCATGCTGCAACTGTCGTAAATACATGCCAGTTGCCAGATACCCAAATTTTAATTTCATGGCCACGGGAATGCTGCTATGGTCATAAGTGCAAGGATTGGTTGTAAATAATTTTTTTTCACCATTATTTTGACTACAAACGAATGGTTACAAGTCAAGGACTACCTTTTTTCAAGAGTATTTTATATCAGTGTTGGTGATTATTTCAGAAATTTTGGACAGATAAGCTATCACTCATTCTAATTGCCTGCTGTAGCTAGAATTAGACATTTCACAGCAAATACATACATTACCCTAATTTCAAACAGGTTATGTTCCTAGAGGCTGTTCACAAATCTGTTTTGTTTGTAAGTCTGAAGTAGGTAAAAAACACTCAAAGTAGATTTTGCACCTTACTGCATCTGGTAAAACCTGATGTGATGGTGTTGGTGCATTCTCTTATATTAATATGACATGAAAGTCATGAAAAAAATGAGTGAAGAATGTTTCCATACTTCATTCAGATTTGCAGTAATAACCTTGTGCCATACTGTAACAATTTTCCTGACAGCCTTGTAGATGTTGTACAGCTTCTAAAACTAATACAAGACATCTGGGAGTCTGCTTTGATTACCTGAGCTGCCTGCCTAAATATGTGGCAAAGAGAATATTTTTTGGAAAGTTGCTATTACTCCCTGTTCCTTAGGTTGTGGGAGACAGGTGGTGTTCACAACCTGCAGGTACACAACCTTCACATTTGATTGAAAATTGCTCAGGTAAAGTGAATTACCTGGGGCACCATCCGAAATATGCAGAATCTTGAACTTGATGTTTTTTCTTTCTTTTTTTTTAATTTTAAAAACAAACTTTATTAGATTTAAAAAACAAAACATAAAATTGTATAAAACATTCACAACCTTAAAATACAATCAACAATATCAACAAACAACAAATAAGGTATATGTCAGGGCATTGATTAATCCCATTCTGCTTTTGGGATAATCGCACCTGATTACGAGGGGCGGATCGAGACCTTTCCTTGCAAGTATACTTTAAGAAAACAAAACCCGAAGATATTTTCTAAGAAAACTCATTTATTTGTTATAAAGAAAATAAAACACCTAACTGATCTAATTGGTTACATTTTGAAAATAAAGTTCGTGCCAGCTGCTTCTCAGCAGCCAGGCTTCTTGGCAAGAGAACAAAGGAAAGAAGTGTGTGAAAGAATGTAGATGTAGGACACATGCGCAGTTTAGCTTACTGATAAGGATTCTTGGCAAGCTACGGAAAGTCTGATAGTCCAGAAATAATGAGCTCTGCTGGTAAATACAAAAACGCAGTGACAGTATATATAATGTATATAAATACACATATATACAAGAACTTATTTTCCTTTTTTTTCCCCTTAATGACGGTGTATAATTATTACTTTAAATTTCTTACTAAGTTTTGACTTTACCTTCTTTTCCATTGATTTATCCACTCATACGAACTGTCCCATATCTTAAAATAATGAGAGTCTTCCTTATCTTTCAATTTCAACGTTAGTCTATCCATTTCTGCACATGTGTAGATTTTTTGAATTATTTGCTGCTCCGTTGGCAATTGATCTGTTTTCCAGACTTGTGCTAGAGCTAACCTAGCTGCTGTAATTATATGTAATATTAGGTACTTTTTTTCCTTTCTATTGTTTTGTTTAAGCATTCCTAACAAAAAAAATTCTGGTTCTAGCTCAATATCCTCTGCAATTATTTCTGATATCCAAATTTTAATTTTTATCCAATATTTTTTTAATTTTTGGGCAAAGCCACCAGACATGAAAGAAGGTTCCCTGTGCTTGCTTGCATTTCCAGCACATTGGATTAAGGTTTGCATACATCCTCGCAAATCTCGCAGGGGCCAGATACCATCTGTACCACATCTTGTAGTGGTTCTCCTTATATGCTACGATTTTGTTATTCTATAGTTGGTTTCCCATACCCTTTCCCATTCTTCTAATTGTATATTTTTGCCAATGTTCCTTGCCCAAGCTATCATTTGTCTTTTAACTAAATTTTCTGCTAGGTCAAATTCTAATAAATATTTGTATAGCTTTGAAATCAAATTTCCATCCTTAGTTCCTAATAATTTATCTAGTCAGTTGGGATTTATGTCGATTCCTCCTTCCTCATTGTCTTTATTGTATCTAGTTTGTATTTGTAGGTAGGGCCACCAGTCTATTTCTATGCCTTGTTCCCTGAGTTCCTGCCGTGTTTTTAATCTTCCTTGGGGGTCCAGTAATTCTTTGTATCTTATTAATTTATGGGGGGTTAGTGTGTTGGGGTGCATTGCCGCCTCCAATGCAGATATCCAGCCAGGAACCTTCATATAATGTTTGTTTTTAATTTCGAACCAGATGTCAATCAGTGAATTTCTTATTATGTGATTTTTAAAATGTTTATAGGCTTTGTTCCCGGCATTCCACAAGAAGGCGTGCCACCCTTTTAACAAATCGTGGCCTTCTAATTTTAATAGTCTATAATTCTCCAAATGTTTTTTCTTATGGCAATACTTCTCGACTTCCAGGACAAAATGTTGGAAGAATCAGTCTTCAGTGTTCAGAAGGGTGACCCAAACATTATTGTTATCCTTCCACACAACAAAAAGTGAGCGCTTTGAGATGTTTTCAAGAGCTTGCTGGTTCTCAGTGGTAGACTAGCAGTTTTAAGCTCAGATCACCAGAAGCATGGCACCTAGCATCACAGTTAGCTATTCACAGCTGAAGCCTGGTATCATCATCTCCTCCTTGCTGGTATAGATTTTGTACAGCATTTTCTTCAAATAAAACCTGTTTCATCCACATTGAATATTGCTGGGACGAATAACCAATTTCCTCAATTATTTTCTTGAGGGCTTTCAGGAACTCCCAGGATGCATCCTCATCCACACTCACTGTCTCTCCACTCATTTTCACATTATGCAAGTGCACCCTACCCTTAAAACTCAGAAACCACTGATGACTTCCAACAAATATATCTTCAGCAATGCTTTCACCAGCCTCCTGTTATGAGTCGTGAAACAAGCTTTTAGCCTTCTCCTGTATCTGTTGGGCTACGGGGCACACACCACTGATGCTGATATTCAGTCCTTATGCTAAACAGCATCTCCATTTCTTCCATCAGTTTTCCTTTCCTCTTGGTTATTGTGGATTGCATAAGATACTGGACCTTTCACATGTTCCATGATCTTGTCTTTGCCTAATGATTTTGTCATGTTCATGATCTTTCCCCACTTCTGTTCAATATGTCCACATTGTCGGCATTGTGAAGGTCAGAAATGAAATGGGGGTGGGGTGGGGGAAGACAGGAAAGGGTTGTACGCAGTATGCGAGTATGTCATAGATGTGTGGTGCACCAGAAACTAATCTTTTCTGATCTTCTCCTGATTTCTGGGACTTTCAAGAATGAATTTAGGGACCAGCTTGTTTCTATCTGAGAAAGTTTGCAATTCAAAAATTCATAAATAGAGTACATTTATACAGCATTCCCAGTTAACCATTTCAGTCTGATACATATTTGAAAGAGACATTTTGCAAGGAGTCATGAAATTTGTGTGTGTTGAAAGCAGGGGATGGGACAAAACCTACTTACCTACTTCACTTGTGCCAGTTAATAAAAGTTAGGAAGAAAGGATTACAGTGGAAAAATTTTAGGGAGAGATCCTCATTGTGATTGCATTTCTCCTCATATGCTGCACTAATGTTCTGTACAGAAGAGTGAACTGGGATATTTTAGCTTCCTTTTGCTTCTGATAACTCACTTGAGAATTTTCAGTTCAATCAATTATTCAAACAAAATTAACTCATATGTTTGCATTTTAACCAGAAAAAGGATACTGCACATTATTTTTTCAGATGTGTGATTTGAGGCATTCCAAGGGCTACAAAAAAAAAAAAAAAAGGAAGTGTGAGCCCTGTGGCATGTGACCATGTTTGAAATACTGGATTGGAATTCTGTAATCTCATTTGTTCCTCTTCCATCTGAGACAGTCATAACAAGCTGCCACAATCTCTTGTTTACATTCTTTGCTTTCTTCCCCAGCCCGCATCTGTGTTGTAGGAATAATTCAGGGTAGCTCTAAGAATCTGGAGCACTGACCAAATGGTGTGGGAATGTACTTAATTTGATCTTAAATTTTATTTGGATAAAAAATTAAGAAACAGTTTGCCTGGAATAGTCATTCCAGGAATTTGTTATGACTATGACAAGTAAATTTCACACATATATATCCTTCTTAATTTTACCTGAAGCTTTTTTCTTATAAACTAATCTAAATTACTTGAGAAAAGCTTTTTAGGTATTGCTGTTGCTTGATGTTAATTATTTGGCAGATTTATAATATTTCAATCAATAATTTATTAATTACTCCCCCCAGAGAAAAATGTAAATGCTAGCCTCTTTAGAACTGGTGCATTACATTACTGCTACAATAATACTTTAATACTTTATCAATGAAATATATGATCATTGCAGGAGTTTGATTTTCATGTCCGGTGGCCTGGAGTAAAACTACTTACAGTGTTGTTAAAACAGCAAGGTCCCCAAGTGCAGCAGATAATCTTAGTCAGTCCTATGGGTAAGTATTTTTAAACCTTTACATCCATTTTTAAACATAATAGCTATTTATTAATTATATTTTTATTAAACAAATGTATATGCCTGCCCAACTCACACATGGTGGCTCTGGACAGCATACTGGAATGAAAACAGATATCCAAAGCAATTGATAAAAATTTAAAATCATTGGCTTTATTTATTTGCAATCTTCTGCGCATGCCCCAACATGGCGGTGCCGACCTGAGTTGCTGTCGGGATGAGCAGCATTTTTGGTGTTTCAGGGTCTCCTGGGGCTGCCAGGACCACCGCTTGGGAGAGTTCCTCCTCAATCCGTTGAGGGCTTTTTTGCCCTCCGAAATGTTTGATGTAAGGGGAAGTGAAAGAAGTACGCCGTGGGAGGCTGCAGGACCCCACGAGGCACCGCGCAAGGAGGATTAGAGAGGCTGGCCTGCAGCGATGCCTGCTTCTTCCCTGCTCGCTGGGCGGCGGCTGTCAGAACAGCGGTGACGACGTGGCAGTGACGGTGGACTGAGGGTGGTCTGGCACTGACGGTGGAGTTGCAGAGTTGCGGCGGCAATGGCGGCCGCCGCGCAGTGATTGGGAGGGGATGATAGCTGGATGAAGATGGCTGCGAAATGGGTGAGGTGGATGTTGCTGGACGCTGGCAGAGAGGCGAAATGGAGGTCGCCAATGGAGGCATGGCATGGCTGAAACGATGATAGGGGATGGATGGAAAGACCTGGGGTTGGAGAGTCCGGTGGATGGCTCTGGGATGGGGCCTCCATGCGTGGCCTCTCCTCCCCCCACCCCCTTCTTTCTGGCCCTGTTATCGGCCTGGGGGTCCTGTACCGTTGCGGTGGTTCTCCTCCTTCCTCTCCGACCGGTCACAGTTCGTGTTGACGGGGGGGCAGAAATCGACCTTGAGGCGCCTTGTGTGTGGGGTGCCGCAAGGGTTGGTTCTCTCGCCCCTTCAACATTTATGTGAAGCCGCTGGGTGAGATCACCCGTGGTTTCGGGGTGAAGTGTCATCTGTACGCTAATGATACTCAGCTGTACATCTCCACCCTGGACCATCCCAACGATGCCCTTGATGTGATGTCCCGGTGCCTGGAGGCCGTGCGGATCTGGATGGGGAGAAACAGACTCAGGCTCAGCCTATCCAAGACCGAGTGGCTGTGGCTTCCGGCATCCCGATATAGTCAGTTGGTACCATCGCTGACTTTTGGGGGCGAGTTGTTGGCCCCCACAGAGAGGGCTTGCAACTTGGGTGTCCTCCTGGATACACGGCTGTCTTTGGAAGAGCATATGATGGCGATGGCCAGGGGTGCTTTTTATCAGGTTTGCCTGATCCACCAGTTGCGTCCCTTTCTGGATCGGTACGATCGATACGGTTACGTACGGTCACTCATGCCTTCGTCACATCCCGCTTGGACTACTGTAATGCTCTCTACATGGGGCTCCCCTTGAGGAACACCCGGAGGCTCCAACTGGTCCAGAATGCGGCCGTGTGGGTGGTGATGGGGGCGACTCGACGCTCCCATGTAACACCTCTCCTGCGCGAGCTGCACTGGCTCCCAGTGGTCTTCTGGGTGCGCTTCAAGGTACTGTTTACCACCTTTAGAGTGCTCCATGGCTTAGGGCCCGAATATTTACGAGACCGCCTTCTGCCGCCAGTAGCCTCCCACTGACCAGTACGCTCCCACGGAGAGGGGCTCCTCAGGGTTCCGTCGGCCAAACAATGTCAGCTGGCGGCCCCCAGGGGGAGAGCCTTCTCTGTGGGGGCACCGACCCTCTGGAAGGAGTTGCCCCCGGAGATACGGCGGATCCCGGATCTGCGCACTTTCCGTCGTGCCTTAAAGACGTTTTTGTTTCATCAAGCTGGGCTGACCTGGCCATATTTTTAAAATTGTTTTAATTTTAAATTGCTAAATTATGTATTTTTTAATATAGGGGTATTTTAACTGTGGGCCAAATTAATTTAATTGGTTTTTAATATTGTTTTAATTTTTGTATTTTCTGTATTTTATCTGCTGGCTGTTCACCGCCCCGAGTCCTTCAGGAGAAGGGTGGTATAATAAATAAATAAATAAATAAATAAATATCAATATCATTATTTATTTATTTATTTATTTATTTATTTATTTATTTATTTATTTTATTTTTGTCAGATTTATATGCCGCCCTTCTCCCGTAGGACTCGGGGCAGCTCACAACAATAGAAAAACCCGACAATAAGTAAAAATTAAATAGTATTAACACCAAATTAAAAATCCCCAAATATCCAAATTAAAATCCACGGCAGATCAGGGAAGTTGGTGGAAGAGCCATGTCTTTAGGTTGGCGCGGAAGGTGCGGAGCTCGGGGCCGTCTGGAGCTCGGTGGGCAACCCATTCCAGAGGGTCGGTGCGGCCACAGAGAACGCCCTCATCCTGGGGACCGCCAGCCGACACTGTCTAGCTGAGGGGACCTGGAGGAGGGTAGCCCTATGTGAGCGCACTGGGTGGTGGGAGGCCGGTAGGAGATGATCCTTCAAATACCCCGGGCCTGTGCCATGAGGAGCTTTATAGATGAGTACCAGCACCTTGAAGCGAATCCGGAGGACCACCGGCATCCAGTGCAGCTCGCGCAATAGTGGTGTTATATGGGAGTAGCGGGACGCACCCTACTACTCGCGCAGCCGCATTCTGGACCAGTTGGAGCCTCCGGGTACACCCCAAGGGCAGCCCCATGTAGAGGGCATTGCAGTAATCCAACCGAGAGATAATGAGAGCCTGAGTGACCGTACAGAGGGCATCCCTGTCTAGAAAAGGGCGTAACTGGCGCACCAGGCGAACCTGCGCAAATGCCCCCCTTGTCACGGCCATTAGATGGTCCATTAAAGACAGCTGTGAATCAAGGAGGACGCCAAGATTACAGACCCTATCCGAGGGAGCAAGACACTCCCCTCCCATCAACAGTGATGGGGCAGCTAGATCATGGGACGCCGGAATCCACAGCCACTCTGTCTTGAAGGGGTTGAGTCTGAGCCTGTTCCTACCCATCCAGATCTGTACCGCCTCCAGGCACTTACACATAACAGAAGGGGCATCCCTAGGTTGGTCCGGGGTGGAGATGTACAGTTGGGTATCATCAGCGTACTGATGATACCGCACCCCGAAACCTCTAATGTTCTCACCCAGCGGCTTCATATAGATGTTAAAGAGCAGGGGGGAGAGAATCGACCCCTGTGGCACCCCACAAGTGAGGGGCCTCGGGGAGGATCTCTGATCCCCTGCCCAAACAAACTGTGAACGGCCCGAGAGATAGGAGGAGAACCACTGTAGGACACTGCTCCCCACCCCCAGCCCCCCAAGACGTCGCAGTAAGATACCATGATCAATGGTATCAAAAGCCGCTGAGAGGTCAAGTAGCACCAGGATGGAGGAATAACCCCCATCCCGGGCCCGCCAGAGATCATTCACCAAGGCGACCAATGCCGTTTCCGTGCTGTGTCCGTGCTTGAAGCCTGATTGGTATGGGTCTAGATAATCAGTCTCCTCCAGGAATTGCGGAAGCTGGTACGCCACCACAGACTCAACAATCTTCGCTATAAAGTGAAGATTGGAGACGAAAGTTGTTCAAGGAGGCCGGATCCAGGGCTGGCTTCTTGAGGAGGGGATGAACCACTGCCTCCTTGGGTGAGGCGGGGAAGACCCCATCTCTCAATGAAGCGTTGATAATCGCCCGGATCCAGTCTCCAGTCACCTCCCTGGTTGCCACAACAAGCCAGGAGGGACAAGGATCCAGTAAACATGTGGAGGCCCCCAGTCTACCCACAATCCTGTCCACTTCCTCCATAGAAACAGGTCAAAGTCAACCCAGATGTCATCTCCAAGATTAGCTCCCATCTCTCATCGGATCCCGCCCAGTCAGAGTCCAACCCCGTCTGAATCTGAGCGATTTTGTCTTGCAGAAATTGCGCAAAATCCTCAGCACTGCCTTGCAAGGAGTCCTCCCTTGCTCCCTGATGGAGAAGGGAGAAAGTCACTCGGAACAAGGCTGCTGGGCGATTTTCTGCAGACGCAATGAGAGCAGCAAAATAATCACGTTTTGCCGCTTCCATCGCCACAGGATAGGACCTAATATGGGTTCTTAATTGTGTTCAGTCAGACTCGGAATGGGAAGACCTCCAATGGCCCTCTAAGCGTCTCTTCCGAAGCTTCATTTCCCTGAGCTCCACGGAAAATCATGGAGCTACCCGGGATCCCTGTCAGAGGAGAGGCCGCAAGGGAGCGATTCAATCCAGTGCCCCGGTGGCGGCCCGTTCCCAGGCATCCACCAGGGCCTCTGGCAAATCACGGGATAGGTCAGTGGGAAATGTCCCAAGCTCCATCAGGAACCTATCAGGGTCCATCAGGCACCTGGAGCGGAACCAATGAGTCTGTTCCACCTCCCAGCGGTGGGGGTTGGCGGAAGGAAAGTCTAGCTGAAGGAGGGAATGGTCGGTCCATGACAGGGGTAATATAGAAAGGTCATCCCTACCCCGAGCATTTATCCACTGCCCAGAGATGAAAATCAGGTCAAGTGTGTGTCCACCGCTGTTAATGTGAGCATTAACTTTCTGGGTAAATAATGTTTTCTGTAGTATGAAAAGATAAGAGTAATAATAAGCACATTATGTTTTGAACATCATAATTGAGTAATGAAATGTTGCAATATAGGAGCCTCTATTCTGGATCAAACCATACCCTGATTCAGGCAGTGTCGGCAGGCAGTGTGGGGCAAAGGCTGGGAGCTTTAGAATTGTGTTCCAGAACCAATTAAGATGTTATTTAATCAATCCCTTGAGAAAGAGAGAGATTCTATGAAGATTCTCAATATCCCGGTCATGATTGTTCCAAATGTGCCTTTTCCAAAATGCATCCAAACTTTTTTTCCCTTTGAAATTGTCTCTTCTCATCTAAGAAGCTGCTTCAGTTCTGATTGACTGGTGAGGAATGGAAGAATATATATTCTTTGCAGTCATCTGGTTGTTAGCACTCTGAGGATTGGTCATTAGCTCTCTGAAAGTTGTTGAGGCTACTTGGGAGTTTTTCTGTATCCTCAAAGACACCTGAGGTAAAAGAGAAAGAAAAAACAAAAATACATCAAGGATGCTCTATCAAAACTGGGCCTTCATCAAATCCACAAAAGGATCTAGCAGCAGCTGTTTCATAACAAGGAAGAGAACAACAAATGGAGCAATGTTGTCATTCCATACAGCAGGGGTCCCCAACCTTTTGGACCTCAGGCACCACCAAGTTCATAATTTTAAATTTCGCGGACTACTAATATGAATCCAGCGCGCCGCTTGCTGAAGCACTTGGACTCCCAGTGACGGGATGGCACTCTCCCTCCTCTCTCTCTCTCTCTCTCTCTCTCTCTCTCTCTCTCTCTCCTCTCTCTCTCTCTCTCCCCCCCCCAAACTCTTTCTCATTCTCTCTTTCTCTCTCCCCTCTCTCTTTCTCTCTTCCTCACTCTTTCTCATTCTCTCTTCCTCTCTCATTCTCCCTCTCTCTTCCTTTCTTTCCCACTCTTTCTCTCTATTCTCTTTCTCATTCCCTCTCTCTCTTTCTCTCTCTCCCACTCTCTCTCTCTCCCCCACTTTCTCTCTCATTCTCTCTTTCTCTCTCTCTCATTCACTCTTTCTCTCTCCCACCTCTTTCTCTTTCTCTCTTCCTCTCTCATTCTCCCTCTCTCTTCCCTTTCTTTTCCACTCTTTCTCTCTAATTCTCTTTCTCATTCCCTCTCTCTCTTTCTCTCTCTCCCACTCTCTCTCTCTCCCCACTTTCTCTCTCATTCTCTCTTTCTCTCTCTCATTCACTCTTTCTCTCTCCCACCTCTTTCTCTTTCTCTCTCCCACTCATTCTCTCTTTCTCTTTCTCTCTCTCCCCCACTCTCTCTCCCACACTCTCTGTCCCACTCTTTCTCTCTTTCTCTCTTCCCCCTTTCTCTCTCTCTTATTCTCCCCCCTTCCCCCCCTCTCCCCCCTCTCTCTTTCTCTCTCCCCCCTCTTTCTCTCAGTCTCTCCCCCATCTCTCTCTCTCATTCTCATTCAAGGGCCGGAAGAAGTTTGGGAGCGAAGCACTACTCGAACTTGCATGGCATGAGCATTCGCCTTGCTATATTTGTGCCAGCCGATGGCGCAAGGCAGCCCTCGTCTCCTGCCACTTGGGACTCGGAGTGTAAATGGCGTCTGGTCTGGGGAGCAGCCGGATTTTGCTCTCCATTGTGAACGCCAGATCGGCCCCCTGCAAGCTCTCGTCTCTCAAGGAGTGCTCCCTGAAGCGGCACTGGAAACTTTGGTCGGGCTCCTCAAGAGACGAGAGCTTGCAGGGGGCCGATGTGGTGTCTGCAATGGAGAGCAAAATCCAGCTTCTTCTCTCTGCTGTAAGTGCGGCATCAGGATTCCACCTTGGCATATTTGCAGCCCAAGGCAGCCCTCGTTTCCTACTGCTTGGGACTCGGAGCGGTAAACAGCGTCTGGTTCAGGGAGCAGCCAGATTTTGTTCTCCATTGCGGATGCCAGATCGGCCCCCTGCAAGCTCTCGTCTCTCGAGAAGCGCTCCCTGAAGTGGTGCAGGAAACTTTGATCGGGCTCCTCGAGAGACGAGAGCTTTCAGGGGGCCGATCTGGCACGTAGACTGCGCTATTTTTTATTCTTTGAATGCCAACAAGCCATTAAAAACAAGCTTTCTTAATTTGTAAAGAAAAGAATATGGGGAGGGGGAATGTCATGCTTTAATGATGTCTCATATGACATGAATGTAGAAATTCATATGCTCAGACCTTGGCATTTAGTAGAATCACTACTGGCCAGACTAGATAAGACTTTGCTTGAGACCTTGAATGTCTGATTAAAATAGATAATTCTCCCTTAAACGCAAGTCTATCATTTTTTTTCTAGGAGTCTCAAGATTAATGGATCTACTAGCAGATTCTAGAGAGGTCATAAGAAATGATGTGAGTAGATATTTTACATTCATGCAACATTTTATTAATGAAATTCTTTTCTCAATTGTAAAACCAGCCCAGTGTTTTCTTAGCATTTATATTTCACTGAAAATACGATATAATCAGAGTAGATGACAAGTACATGAGGTATATGCCAATGTCATGATTGCAGAATATTATAGACTGTGTTTGAAGAAAATATGTTTATTTTTAATTAACCTCATGCTGAAAATCTTAAGAGATTGACAGATTTATTGTAAATTGATGAACAAGTTTCTTTAATTTTAGAAGTGCTCATTGTTTTGCACAGAAAATTATTAATCTGAAATGACAGTTTCTTTGCTTATAACTCTATTTCCTTGCACTTCACATTCCTAAGTCTTATATTTTCCTTACTCATTTACATGTTGTGATTGCTGTCCTTATTTTATAAATTATCAGACATACATTTTGCATAGTTAGAACAAAATCTTATTTTCTTGTTTTTCAACAAGTGTCTACGTAGATATATATAGAGAGATAAATTTTCAGGTGCAGCAGCCACTATTCTGCTTTATTATGTATGCATCATGCCTTTATTTTTTGCAAAGTTCAAACAAAGAAAGAGCCAGGAACCAAAACTTCCTATATGCAAGTTCATATTTATTTATTTAATAATTTCAGAGAGAATTCTAAAATCTATATATATAAAAGCGAAAACCACTCATGCTGTAATCACGAAATCTCTAGAACCATAAAACCTACAAACTTGGAATTTGCCACAGATGTTCCTCTTGGCTTCTTCTAGGTGCTCACTAAGAAAGGATTTTCGAAATGACCATCAGAGCATTAGTATTTCCTATATTATGATTAACATGCTCTGATGCTAAGGAGCTCTACTCCTCCTCCCCGCCTGGAAAGAAATCTGTTCCAAATGCAAAACATAAGGAGAGGAGAGGAGTTTCACGTTCAGTTTTACTTTCACAGCAGCAATCAGGAGATAGGATGGGGGGGCTTCTGTGGGGCAAGCCTTAGGGAGAGAAGGGGATAGGAGAAGAGAGGCTTCTGTGGGGCAAGGCTGAGGGAAAGAAGGGGATAGGAGAGGGAAGGCTTCTGTGGGGCACACCTGTGGGAGAGAAGGGGGTAGGATAGGAGACATTTCTGTGGGGCAAGGCTGAGGGAAAGAAGGGGAGAAGAGAGGTCGATCGTAACTACTCATTAATTTTCAAACTTTAAATGTCAATTTATCAAGCCTGATCAGATAGTTTTGTAGCACAGCACGAGTATCCAGCTAGTAAAACTATAGAAGAAGAGATGGCACTGTAAGTTTAAAAAAACTAAGTTCCCACAATGTGTAATAATTTATCCTTGCTATTCAAACAGTTAACTTAAAACAATATAATATTATTATTTTTACTCCATATTGTGGCATTCAAAACCCTAACACATAGATAAGGAAGAAGTTCTGAGTCATCTGAAGAAGCTACATAACTGACTGCTTTACAAAACTACTTATTCCCCCTTCATTCTCTATTTTTGTTAAAGGAGATTTGAGCAACAGAAGATGACAGTATATGAGAGAAAGTAGTGATTCTTATTCAATTGCTTCTCACATACCTTTAAGCAATTTTATGGAATATATACTTATACTAGTTCTTGTCTGCAATTGGTGGTTGTTGTCTTTTGTTTTTAACTCCAGTGAACATTTTGTCTTTTTTCCCCCCCTTCTCCTCCAGGGTGTTTTGTTACTTCAGCAGTTAACAAAAAGTAATGCAGCAATCCAGAAAATAGTTGCTTTTGAAAATGCATTTGAAAGATTGTTAGATATCATAACAGAAGAGGGTTATAGTGATGGAGGTACGTGCCTGAAATCTGCGTTTTCATTCCATAGTTTATAAGTTCAGATAGTTCAGTTTTATAACAGCTATTAAAATTAATGTCTGTTAACCACTCTATTTTGCAGGCATAGTAGTGGAGGATTGTCTTCTGTTGCTACAAAATTTGTTGAAAAATAACAATTCAAATCAGAATTTTTTCAAGGAAGGTTCTTATATTCAGCGTATGAAACCATGGTTTGAAGTTGGTGATGATAATGCTGGGTGGTCTTCACAGAAAGTAACCAATTTATATTTGATGCTGCAGGTAATTTCTTATCCATATGCAGTAACATTTAAAATGAGGTCTAACTAAGTTTTGTACTAATGTCAAATGGAATAGCATTATCTTTGAAGTTATTTAAAAATGATGCTTTGGATACTTTCAGCACACCTAAATCATTGTTTACTTTCTTTACAGCTGGTACGTGTGCTGGTGTCTCCTACAAATCCTCCTGGTGCCACCAGCAGTTGTCAAAAAACCATGTTTCATTGTGGGTTATTACAACAGCTTTGTACAATTCTGATGGCAACTGGAGTTCTCGCTGATATTCTTACAGAGGTAAAATACTAGAGAATAGTGACTGTTGCAAAATAAGATAATGATCAGATAACAAGAGGAAATTATCATAGCCTTTTCTGAAATACTGAAGTTCTTAAAATTTCTGTAGAACTTTAAAATATTGACACACATTATTACAGGTAGTCCTCAACTTATTACCTCAATTGAGCCCAAAGTTTCTGTTGTTAAGTAAGATAGTTGTTAAGTGAATTTTGTCCCATTTTACAACTTTCTTGCCACAGTTGTGAAGTGAATCACTGCAGTTGTTAAGTGAGTAACATAGTTGTTAAGTGAATCTGGCTTCCCCATTGATTTTGCTTGTCAGAAGGTTGCAAAGGTGATGACATGACTCTGGGACACTGCAACCCTCATAAATACAAACTGCTTGCCAAGCATCTACATTTTCATCCCATGATCATGGAATTGCTATAATGGTTGTAAATGTGAAAAATAGTAATAAGTCATTTTTTTCAGTGCCATTGTAAATTTGAATGGTCACTAAATGACCTATGGTCACTATTGAGGACTACCTGCGCTTGATTCAATTTCATCATTTCAAATGTAAATTTAACTAATTTTAGATTATTGAAAATGTTTGACAAACAGTTCAGGTCTTCTTTTTCTATTATAAAGGTAATGTTCATGTTAACAATGTTATTAGGGAGTAATATTATCATTTTAGAATATTTTATGGTGTTTTACCATCATTTGCAAGTGAATTGGACTGGTGTCATTCAGTCTCATTGTTTTTGACATTTTGTAGGATAGCATGTAAAAGTTGTCTGCAGAGTATGACTTCACATGATCACATACAAATCAACGCATTCAATGTAAACAGCCACATGCACAAAAATTGCTCAATTTTCAATAATTTCATATTCTTCTAAATGTGTGGAGTAATAAGTAATGAAATATTGTCCAATCTTAAATCTGTTCAGCAATCATGTTACCTTCACTGATATACAGAGAATCAAAATTGAAAATACTTGATTGTATTTTCGTAAATAAATAGAAATATTGTTAATGTGAATTTTGCATAATGTAGCATAAATCAAAGAAACTAACTCAATATCAATTCATTGTTCACTTCCTGATTCTGACATTATAGCTATAAGTTTTGATTTCTTTGTGTTCTTTGATTCTTATTTTCTAGACCATTAACACTGTATCAGAAGTAATTCGAGGATCTCAAATGAATCAAGATTACTTTGCTTCAGTAAATGCACCTTCAAATCCTCCAAGGTATGTTAAAGAAAATGTAATGCAACTTTGTGTAAAAATTAATGTTTATGGGAGGAAACACATTTAACTGTAAATTAGATATAAAAATCTGAAATGTTAATATTTAATTATAAGAAATGGGAATTGATATAGAAGTTATTCTGAGTTTTCATGATTTATTTATTTGTTTGTTTATTAAGAAAATTTATATGGCCACCCAATTCACTTACAGTGATAAGGGCAATTTTGCAAGAGTTTGCAAAATGAGGGACAGTCTTATTTCTGCAGCGATGATGTTCCATAGGGAAGGGGCTGCCACAGAGAAGGCCTTTCTTCGTGCCAGTAGATCAGAGGTGGGCAACTATGGCCTCTATGGCAACTTATAATGTGTGGACTTCAACTGCCAGAATTCCTGAGCCATAGTTGCCCAAAGGCCATACTGGCCATGACTGCCACTTGTTCTTCAAGCAGGAATCATGAGTTCAGGAGAACCTCCAAGATCATGCACTGAGGCTTTTGGAGCAGGGAAACCCGATCCAAGATCAGAGATGGCAATTTTCCATGGATTGAAGAACCCCAAACCCAGAGCCATTCTGTCTTGCCAAGGTTTCATTGCTCCCCATAAAGCCCGTTACAGCCTCCGGCACTGTGGAAGGTAGGTCACAATATGGTTTAACTCACCATGGGCTGCAATATACAGATGGGTGTCATCAGCGTATTGACCTTCAATCCATGTTGGTAGATAATCTAATCCAGTGACTTGATGTATATGTTAAACAGAAGTGGAGAAAGTGCCAAGCCCTGTTGGACCCTGCAAAGCAGGGGATGAGGCTGGACCTCTTGCTTCTTATCAACACCGACTGAGAGCAACCTAAAGGAAGGAAGTGAACAAGGACAACACAATGCTTTCCCCCCCCCACTTGCAACCCCCAAAGCCACTCTAGAAAGCCTGATAGATCAAGTAGAGCATGGATGAACAAACTACTCCCATGCTGCTCCCAGAGATCATTGGTCACAAAAAGTGCGACCAATGATACCATGTCTGTTCATATCTAGGCCTGAATCCTGACTGCAAAAGGTCCAAATAATCTGTTTCATCAAGGAAACTAATAGTACGCTAATAGTAATGTGGTATTGACAGTTGTTTCATATACTCAAATATGTTTTTTATTGGAGGTTTATGAATTGCAAGTCATTTGTTTCTTAATGTCAGAAAGAAAGTACTTTGTTATTTTCTTTTTGAATTGAGTTCAAAAATGAGTTAAAGGAAAGTCCGGATATAAAAGTGATACTAAGTTGTAATTATTTCTAGTTGCCCCTCTGCCATCTTCCTTACCTTTTTTGGAGACCTTAAGCATTGAACTTGGATTTCTATTTGTAAATAATTTTTGTAAATTGCTGTCCTGGGAAGAAGAACCACATTAAAAAAAAATGTGTAAGATGAAGTAATTACTTGGGAGAACTGGAAAAACAAAAATGAGAGAAATTGAATAAGTCACATGTTTTCTGACCACTTGGGTTAATTAATATATTTTCTTTTACCTATTAGTGTATCAATTTTATGTATATATGCACCACATTCTTATGGAAGCGTACAGACCTAAACTAAAAAAAAGATTCTTCTTTCAATCACAGGCCTGCAATTGTTGTGCTTCTTATGTCAATGGTAAATGAGAGACAACCATTTGTCCTGCACTGTGCTGTCCTTTATTGCTTCCAGTGTTTCTTATACAAAAACCAAAAAGGGCAAGGAGAAATTGTATCAACTCTTCTACCTTCAACCATTGATGGTACGATATTGGAAAGTTAAATTCCTACTTCTAACTTTAGGTGCAAAAATACATGATTATGGTGTAACAGGAGGGAGGAAAATTCTACTCACTTTCAGGAGGCCTTATAAGGATAAGTGGTAATTGTAGAGCTTTCCAGTTATGTTCATTTGCAGTTGCTCCAGAAACAAGCTTGGCATGGTACTAGTGTAATAACACATGAAATGGCATAATAGAAATATTATTGGATGCTTCTGTAAGTTGTTTGAAAACCCTTCTGCTGCTTTAATATTGTAGAATAGTTTTTTTTCCTTAAATGTGAAGCCCATTTCACTTAATCCCTTTTTGATTCCAGAAATGACAATGATATTTTAACAAAATAAAGTATCAGTGAGCAGCATTAGACTCTCCTAGCAACTTCCTTGGGTTTTTTCCCATTACCTGCTGTGCTGAAAAAAAATCTCATAATAAGAAATCATTAACAAACAAAATAATGATACATAAGATTATCACATTTACTGATAATGAGCCCTGTCTAACAAAATGAAATTCAACTTAGGTAAAAGTAAGGTTTTACACTTAGGCAAGAAAAACCAATTATATAGGTAGCCCTTGGCTCAGTACCAATAATTATGACAGGTATCTTGGAATCCTAGAGGACATCACTTAAATATGAGCCAACAGAGTGCATCCAAAAAAGCCAATGTAATCCTGGGCTGCATTTAGAGCAATAGATTCAAGATCTCATGAAGTTCTAATACCATTGAAAGCCTTAGTAAGACCATATTTGGAAAATTGCATCCACTTCTGGTCACCACAATATAAAAAGAGGTTGAGACTTTGGGAAGAGTGCAAAAAAGAGCAATAAAAATATTTAGGGGGCTGGAGGCTAAAACATAAGAAGAACAGCTGCAGGAATTGTGTATGTCTAGTATGGTGAAAAGACTAGAATTGTATATGTCTAGTATGGTGAGGGGACATAATAGCAGTGTTCCAATATTTGAAGGACTCCTACAAAGACGAGAAAACTACCTTCCAAACCACCAGAAGACAAGACAAGAAACAATGGATAGAAACTAACCAAAGAGAGAAGCAACCTAGAACTAAGGAGAAATTTCGTAATGGTGAGGGTAGTAAACCAATGGAATAGGCTCCAGAAGTTGTGAATGCTCCATCACTGGACATTTTTAAAAAGAGACTGGACAGCCATTTGTCCGAAATGGTATAGGCTAGTGTTGGAGAACTTTTTCAGCACTGAGTACCGGAAACCGGAAGAACAGCCGCCCCCAATGCGTATGCGTGCATCAGGAAGATGATCTTCTGGTTTCCGGCATGTGCATTGGCCACCTGGTCTTCTGGTTTCTGTTGTGCATGTGTGTGCGAAGACCAGCTGGCCAGTGCGCAGTACAAAATCCACCCTAAGCAGACTAACAACTCCTGCATAGCTGCCCAAAATTGGCCAACACATTTCAATTCTCACCATTTCAATTGGCTATAAGCCTCCTATCTTTTTTTTTTTTTAATTTGATTTATATGCCGCCCTTCTCCGGAGACTCAGGGCGGCTTACAATGTGCTAAGCAATAGCCTTCATCCTTTTGTATATTTATACAAAGTCAGCTTATTGCCCCCACAACTGGGTCCTCAATTTACCTACCTTAGGAAGGATGGAAGGCTGAGTCAACCTTGAGCCTGGTGAGATTCGAACCTGCAGTAATTGCAGGCAGATGGTCTTAATAACAGGGTGCTTTAGACCACTGTACTACCAAGGCTCTATCAAGGTCAAAACATTCCTGCATTAGATAATCTCCCAGATATTTTCAAAAGTTTTATATTGGTGAACATGTCTGAAATAGTCCTGTCAATAAATTGACTGCTTATTTTACAGCTACTGGAAATTCTGTCTCAGCTGGCCAACTTCTTTGTGGAGGACTCTTTTCTACAGATTCTGTTTCAAATTGGTGTGCAGCTGTAGCATTGGCCCATGCTTTGCAAGAAAATGCCACTCTAAAGGAACAGCTACTACGGGTACAGCTAGCCACTAGTATTGGAAATCCTCCAGTGTCCTTACTTCAGCAGTGCACTAACATTCTGTCTCAGGTACAGCATTATGAACCTATAACTTGCATACCTCTGAACGCTTTTAGAAGTGGCCATAAAGAAACGTTATTTAAAAAGAGAGCTGTTATAAAATATCTTGATTATTACATTTAGTAAACCATAAAACACTATTAAATGATCTTTGCACAAACTATTGCTTTTAATATATAGTGTTTTCCGTTAATTTGTGATAATTCTGATAAGCATATGGGGATAGAACCAATGATTAGAATGATCAAAACTAGTTGCTGGGGTGTAATAATGTCTGTTCCTAACATATATAGAAATATGTGGAAATTAATAGTGTGGTGTGATTGCACTGAATTTGAACCAAGAAGATCCAAGTTTAAATCTGTCCTCAACTATGGAAGATCTGTCAGTCCAATCTATCTCGTAGAACTACAGAGGGGAAATATTGGAGGAGTGTTTGTTATGCTTTGAACTCCATAAGGAAAGGGAAAGTATATTGTAAAGAATCAGATTGTAAAAAATCAGAAACGCTTGTGTAATCTGTTTGATATATATGGTACATCCTTGAAGGAAGTAAAAACTGAAATAAGGGACTAAAAGGTTGTGCTTTTGTTTTTTTCCCAATCAGAGCAATGGTAAATATTTGAACCATGAATGTATGAAGCCAAGAAACAAATGTGTACAAAAAGGCCACTTATTGAGACCACATTTGGGCTTACTTTCTTATGAATTTATCAATAATACAAAATAATACAAATACCAATGTAAATGGTCTTTAAATTGACTTTCAATCCTTTTGTTATTAGTTTATAGAACATGCATATGCTTCAAACATTTGTGCATACATTTAGGATGGAGGAAAATGATTTCTCTTGCATATTTTTTAATACAGTAAATAACATTTGTTTCCTTCAGAGCAGCATGGAAAATTGTTATGAACCTCATTCCATTGTTTGTATGCAAACAGATTTGAAAACAAATGAGTAGGTAGCTAGATTTAAATGAAGTAAAATCCCTATAAACCAAGCAAACCTCATTTGGTTGATGTTAAACTATATATAACAACAAATTTCAGTATTAATTTTTCATCTCATTCAAAAATATTTGTTCTGAAAAGGAACTGCTATTGCTCTTTGGTTTTTTTAAAAAATGTGTACACTTCTATGTCATCCATGTACATAGTTGCAGAACTGTTCAGATTAATGAAAATCGAAAACAACTTACCTCTATACAGTATTGTAGTGATTTTAACATCCTGCAGCATTCCCTTTTAATATTTAATATATGGTTCACAGGGTGATAAGATCGACAGACGGGTATGTATTGAACACAAGGCATTCCTTTCATTGTAGCAGGGTCTATGCTGTCTCAGCTTTGCAGTGTTTTATGAATTAACTGTTTGAGGGTGGTTTTTTTTCTACTTACAGTTTGTGCCTGTTGCTTGGTGTTATTTCTAGTAACAAACTGTCTATCTCTTGGTGGTTTTGGTGACTGATAAGGGAAACATGGTTGTTATGGGTGCTTTTTCTTTCTCCCAGGAGTCCTTGCATAACCAGTGGGTACTAATGTAGTTTGACTTCTTTTGTCTTCTTTTAGTGTAAATTCAGTATTTAAAAGTTTAATGAGTACTTTCTTTCTGTTCATAACCAGATAGAAGATAAACAATTTGAGGTGTTTCCAAACCATTGTATTTCAGACTAGTGTTCATTCTATTTTTAATTAAATTATTTTCAGATTAAATTTTGTTTTACTAAGTGATTCACTCTCTTGATTACCATGTTTTCCCCAAAATAAGGCCCTGTCTTATATTTTTTTTAACCCTGAAATAAGTACTTGGTCTTATTGCCATGTGCTCAAAAGCCCAATTGGGCTTATTATCAGGGGATAATAATTTGGGGCAAAACAGGGTAGTATTTTCTGCTGATCATGCAGGATAAAATTTATATATTGAATGCTTTTACATTTTGTAAAATTTTTTGCTTAAGTTATAAATGGAACAGAAGAACAGAACAGAAAGACGGTTTGATCTAGTGGTTAAAGTGCCAGGCTAGAAAGAAAGAGCCCATGAGTTCACGTCCTACCTTAGTCATGAAAACCAGCTGGGTGACCTTAGGGCTGTTAGTCTCTCTTAGCCTAACTCACCTCACAGGGTTATATGGAGAAAATAGATGGAAGATATGTTGGATATATTTGCTGCATTATTTGTAAATAGTAAAGATATAAAGGATATAAATAAACAAAAATGCTATTGACAAAATACAATTGCAAAATCTATTGCTAATAAAAACTATCAGCTATTTAAAGTAAAAAGACATAAAAAGTAAAGTAAAGTAAGTAAATTATAAATTTTTTAATATCAAAACCAGATAGAAACAGTCAGGAATAGATTTTAAAAATATAAATATTCTTATCAAGTATAACTATTGAAACATTTACCTGTTAAACCTACAGAATCATTTTCATTTTCTTTTTAAAAAATAGTTTCAGATTATAGGGAAGCATGAAGACAGCATGCGGCTACATCTTTTTAAAGCAAGTGGATGATGCAGCTGTAACCTATAAAATAAAAAAGAATCACAGAAGGGCTTTTTATCTTCCTTTCACTTCCAAATGGCTTTAGAAGTAAATGATAAAAAATACTGCCTAGAATTAATTATATTTAGTCTATCGAGTTCTCTCAGCATGATACTAGTGTTTTAGGTGGTGTCATTCCATTGAAGTATACCAGATCAGGAAGCAGTCACCACAAAAGGGAAAAAAAACCTTAGAAATCCACATTATTACAGTTGGCCACAGTAACAGAATTTTGAAAACCTGATAGAATTTCTTTTTTATTCCCTTTTATACCAGAGTCAATGAAACAATTTTGAATTTCTTTCTCACATTTCTGATTTTCCAGGCTAAATTTATTACTTTTCACTTCACTTTTTCTGCAACATCTTTTTTATATTGTGATGACTAAAACTGGATGCAGTATTCCAAGTGTGATCTTATAAAGAGTGGTCTCTGCAGTATAAAGCAGTACTAAAGCTGCTAGTATAGTGTCATGTGACCTTGATACTATTACTGTTGATATAGCTTTCGGCTGCGTTGACTTTTTTGGCAGCTTTGGCATACTGGCTCATATTTAAGTGGCTGTGCACTAGAATTCCTATATCCTCTCACAATTACTGCTGTTGAGTCACCTCTTCTAAACTTGTGCATTTGGCTTTTCTTGCATAAGAAAAGAAATACATGTAACATCTTATTTTTCTCACTACCAAATTATATTTTGTTGGATAGGATCTACTGTTGAAATCTATCAAGATTCTTCTGGATCCTGAACCTATCTTCTAAAGGCTATGCTAAGATTATTCCATTCAGTTTGGTGTTCTCTGCAGATTTGATGAGTTCCTCTTCTACTCCTTCATCTAAATTGTTTAGGAAGATTTTGAAGAGTACCTCCCGCTATGTAGATGTCGTTCCATTGAGGACTACAAATTGAGTGTGGTTGATAAACCAGTTACAAATTAATCTTATTATTTATTTATTTATTTTATTTTGTTGCATTTCTATGCCGCCCAACTCCCAAGGGACTGTGGGTGGAGATTCTATCTATCCTACATTTTTCTATCTTACTCAGTAATAGGTTTGTGGTCTATGTTATCAAATGCCTTACTGAAGTCCAAGTATACTACGTCCACAGCAATTTTCTGGTCCAGTAACTTAGTCACTTTGTCAAAGCATACAGTAAGGTTTATCTGGCATGATCAGTTTTTGACAAACCCATGTTGCCTTCTGGTAACAACGTTGCTTGTTTCTGGATATTTGCAGATACGCTGCTTAATGAACTTTTCCAGAATTTTCTCAGGTATTGATGTCATGTTGATTGGTCTGAAATTTCCTGGGTTCATTTTTTCCCCTTTTTTGAAAATCAACACATCAGCTCTTTTCCAGTCTTCAGGTAGTTCCTTGGTGCTCATGGATTTTTTAAAGTTATGGTTCAGTAATTCCAAGATCATGTCTGCCAGCTTCTTCAGAACCCTGGGATGTAATCCATCTGGTCCTGGTGATTTAAACTTGTCTGGAAAGCTGTTGTCCTACCATAATTTTTTTTTTTGCCTATTTTGACTTGTATTCATAATCTGTTTTTTGTGGTACTATTATTAGGTTGGATTATTTTTTTCCTTTTGTGGAAAGACATGCAAAGAATAAATTAAGCAAATGCAATTTCTCCCTGAAGCCCATTGCCAACTTGCAATCTTCTCCCAATATTGACTATATATATATATCATCTGGGGTCTCTCTTATTTTTCTTTCTCAGTGATATTGTTAGACTGGGCTTTTATATTCTCATTTTCAGAGGTTCTTGAGTTGTTTTTCCCTTTGAAATTTTCATCCTTCCCAAGTTCTCTAAGTTTGTTAAAATCTAAAGCCTAAAATATTAGTATGACTTTGCTTGTGCCTAGGTTATGTTAAATTCCAACGTGACATGGTTACTTTCCCCCAGTGTTCCTGCAACATCAATCCCTTCTGTCATTTAATCTCTGTTACTAAAGATTAAGTCGAGTTTAGCTGACCTCTAGTGTCCGCCTCTGTCTTTTGGGTAACTAAGTTGTCTCCTAGGTTTGTCAGGAACCCGTTTGATCTTCTACTTGGTGCAGAGTTTGTCTCCCCATAGATGTTGGGGTAGTTAAAATTCCCCATTGCTATTCTAGTATGCTTCCTGCACATTGTAGCTATGTGATTAGCAAAAAGTTTGTCTATTTCCTCTGATTGATAGGGTGTCCTGTAATATACAGATATGGCAATATCATTCCTTTTTCCTTTTATATTAACCAAATGCATTTAAGAAGATTTTCATCCTTTTTTTAAAAAAAAAGGTGTAGGTGTAGTTATTTCTTTTAAATGATGCAACTCCACTTCTTCTTTTATTAGGTCTATTTCTTTTGAACAATTTAAATCTCTATACCTCTACCTTCTAGATATTCCACCAAGTTTCAGTAATGTAAATAATGTCATACTTGCCCTCATGTACAAGTCCTCAATTTATGACCAGAATTGTGGCCAAAATTTCCATTGCTAAGGAAGAGGTTATTAAATGAATTGCATCAATCTTACTCTTGGCACAGTTTGTCTTGCTGTACCATAAATTCTGTATGGATCTACATAATAAACTTACTATTCTTTTTAAATAATTTTTCTGGGTGACCAGATGAATTTCTTCTCATCTTTTTATTTTGAGATAGACAGCTTGCTAGTACGTATAATGTAACTAAATTTTGTGCAGCTACACACAGAGTGTAGCAATAGACAATAAGGGTATACTGTACATCTGATAATTCAGTTCCCTATCCATCCTTGGTTCATAATTTTCCTTTTTAAAATCATATTATTCTGCTATGGTTTGTGTTATTTTTAATGTGGAGTTCTTGGTGCTCTCTGAGCTTGGTTGTTTCCTTGCAGAAGTTTCATTAGCCAACTAGATAACATCTTCAATAATGCAGTATTACATTATTATATGGTCTTGTCTTTTTAGTTATATAGAAAGCTTGAACAAGGCAAAAGTAGGAGAGGTCCTGTCAGTGGTGGACTGAACTGTAGCATTCACAAAATCACAGCAATATATGTTTGATTATTAGGTTGCCTATCATAAAAGTTGTGTAGTAAGCCAGATAGGATGAAAGATTCACTTTCATCCAGTCTCCTTTTCTATCGTGTTAGGGGAGTGCGCACTCGCTGTCTACGAGCGGTGGCGTGCTCCGGCCCCCAAGGCTCTACTCGCTCCTCAGGTTGCATAGACCCTCAGGACCCAGGCCTTCGGCTGATGCTGTGCAATGCCAGGTCCGTAGTAAATAAAGCCCCCCTCATCTGTGATCTTGTTCAGGAGGGGGGTGCGGACCTGGCAGGTATTACGGAGACCTGGTTGGGCCAGGAGGGGGGGGTTCCCCTCGTTGAAATGTGCCCGCCAGGTTTCCAAGCATTCCATCAGCCGAGGTCACAGGGGAGGGGCGGGGGGGGTAGCGGTTATCATTAAAGAAGGTCTGAGACCGAGGGAGGCCACTGTTCCTCAGACGGCCGGCTGTGAATCCCTTTTTGTGAAATGGGGTCATGGGGTTCAGATGGGTTTGCTGATCACGTACCTGGCTCCCTGCCACGTGGCAACAGCCCTGCCCGAGCTACTCAACGTCATCGCCGCGGTGGCAGTTGATACCCCTAAGCTTATGGTTATGGGGGATTTCAACCTGCCGTCCGTGGGTGAGACGTCAGAGATGGCTCGGGAGTTCATGGCTTCCATGACAGCTATGGACCTGACCCAGTTAATTCATGGCCCTACCCACACAGGGGGAAACACGCTGGATCTGGTTTTTGTCTCTGGACAGTGGTTGAGGGATCTTGATATAGGGGATATAGTTACTGAACCCTTGTCATGGTCAGATCACTCTCTCCTTCGTCTCGACTTTCGAACCGCTGCACCCCGCCGCAGGGAGGCGGAGCCGGTCAGATGGTTCCGCCCCAGGCGCCTGATGGAACCTGACAGATTCCAGACGGAGCTTGGGCCATTTCCTGAGGTTCTGGCACACGCCTCGACTGGAGACCTGGTGGCCGCCTGGGATAGGGCGGCTGCTGGTGCTCTGGATCGGGTCGTGCCTTTGCGGCCTCTGACCCGGCGCCGATCTCAATTGGCTCCTTGGTTTACCGAGGAGCTGAGGGAGTTGAAGCGCCGGAAAAGACGCCTAGAGAGTAGTTGGAAGGCCAGTCTTCTTGAATCTGACCGGACAGTAGTAAGATCCCACATTAGGAATTACTTAGTGGCGATAAAAGCAGCGAAATGTAGTTATTTTGCTGCTCTTATTGCGTCATCAGATAATCGCCCGGCCGCCCTCTTTAGGGTGACCCGCTCCCTGCTCCACCAGGAAGCGCGGGAGGACCCCTTGGAGGGTAGAGCCGAGGATTTTGTTCAGTATCTGTATGACAAAATCACTCAGATTCGGGAAGATTTGGACTCCGACTGGGTAGTCTCAGGGGGAGAGACGGGGGCAGGTCTTGAGAATGTTATCTGGGATGAGTTTGATCCTGTGACCCCTGAGGACGTGGACAGGATTCTGGGTAGACTGAACGCGACCACTTGTTTATTGGACCCGTGTCCTTCCTGGTTAGTACTGGTTTCCCGGGAAGTGACACGAGGCTGGCTCCAGGGGATTATAAACGCTTCGCTGAGTGAGGGTGACTTTCCCGCCGCCTTGAAAGAGGCGGTGGTGAGGCCTCTCCTCAAGAAGCCTTCCCTGGACCCGGCAATGTTGGTAAATTATCGTCCGGTCTCCAATCTTCGCTTTGTTGCGAAGGTTGTTGAGAGTGTGGTCGCGCAACAGCTCCCCCAGCACCTGGATGAAACGACGTATCTGGATCCGTTCCAGTCGGGCTTCAGGCCCGGGTACAGCACGGAAACGGCATTGGTCGCATTGGTTGATGATCTCTGGAGGGCTCGGGACAGGGGGTGCTCCTCTGTCCTGGTCCTGTTAGATCTCTCAGCGGCTTTTGATACCATCGACCATGGTATCATGCTGCACCGGTTGGAAGAGTTGGGGGTGGGAGGCACTGTGTTGCGGTGGTTCTCCTCCTTTCTCTCTGACCGGTCGCAGTCTGTGTTGACAGGGGGACAGAGGTCGACCCCGAGGCCCCTCATATGTGGGGTGCCGCAAGGGTCGGTCCTCTCGCCTCTCCTGTTCAACATTTATGTGAAGCCGCTGGGCGAGATCATCCGTGGTTTCGGGGTGGAGTACCATCAGTACGCTGACGACACCCAGCTGTACATCTCCACCCCGGATCACCCCAACGATGCCCTTGAAGTGATGTCCCGGTGCCTGGAGGCCGTACGGATCTGGATGGGGAGGAACAGGCTCAGGCTCAACCCATCCAAGACTGAGTGGCTGTGGTTTCCGACGTCCCGATATAGTCAGTTGACGCCATCACTGACTATTGGGGGCGAATCATTGGCCCCCACGGAGAGGGCTCGCAACTTGGGCGTCCTCCTGGACTCACGGCTGTCTTTAGAAGAGCACTTGACGGCCGTGACCGGGAGGATTTTTCATCAGGTTCGCCTGATTCGCCAGTTGCGTCCCTTTCTGGATCGGGACTCTTTACGCACGGTCACTCATGCCCTTGTCACCTCCCGCCTGGACTATTGCAACGCTCTCTACATGGGGCTCCCCTTGAGGAGCACCCGGAGGCTCCAACTGGCGCAGAGTGCGGCCGCGCGGGTGGTAATGGGAGCAACATGGCGTTCCCATGTAACACCTCTCCTGCGCGAGCTGCACTGGCTCCCGGTGGTCTTCCGGGTGCGCTTCAAGGTTTTGGTTACCACCTTTAAAGCGCTCCATGGCTTAGGACCCGGGTACTTGCGGGACCGCCTACTACCACCAATAGCCTCCCACCGGCCGGTACGCTCCCATAGAGAGGGGCTCCTCCGGGTGCCGTCAGCCAAACAATGCCGACTGGCGGCCCCCAGGGGGAGAGCCTTCTCTGTGGGGGCACCTACTATCTGGAACGAGCTCCCCCCCAGAGATACGGAGGATCCCGGATCTGCGCACCTTCCGCCGCGCCTTAAAGACCTTACTATTTCACCAGGCCGGCCTGGCCTAATTTTCCCCCTCTTTTATAAAAGATTTTTAAAATTTTAAATATTTTTTAGTATTTATATATTCAATTTTAAATTGGTTTTAAAAGTTTGGGGTTTTAAATTTGTCGGGGCCAAAATTATTTAATTTGATTTTATTCTATTTTTTAAATTTTGTATTGTATGTGTTTTTATTGTTTGGCTGTGCACCGCCCTGAGTCCTTCGGGAGTAGGGCGGTATAGAAATCTAATAAATAATAATAATAATAATAATAATCTGATAGCAATAATTCCTAGTCCGCTCTTCATAATTATTTTCTTTTCCAATTGCGAATACTAAGGATGCACAGTTCTCATCAGACTGCTTTGGTATTTTATTCCCAATTTTTTTTCCTGAAAATTTATTGTATTTCAAGTTTCTCCTAGGCCTGTGCATTCCTCACTTTTAGAGAATGGTTTTGATTGATTATGAATCAAAATATGAGGCAAGATATAAAAGTGATGCAAACAGAGATAACATTTGTTTTCGTTTTTTCCAGGGAAGCAAAATGCAGACAAGGGTTGGATTATTAATGCTGCTTTGCACGTGGCTAAGCAATTGCCCCATCGCTGTCACACATTTTCTTCACAATTCAGCAAATATTCCATTTGTATCCTTTTAAAAGAATTATCATTTAATGCTTCACTTTAGTAATTATATAAAATTTTGATTAAAGAAGAGAAGTGACACTTCACTAAAAGATATGTTTCTTTCAATGATGTACCAAATGTTTGCAATTTTGACATTTATAATTATTAAAATATCTCACATTGTGCTCATAAATAGATTTTCACTTTCCTCTGTTAAAATTGGCATGCTGCATGTTTCTGTTATGGTATGATAACTGTGTTTTATTAAATTTGCTTTGATTAAATGAATAAACAACTGATTGTTTTGCAGTTAAGTTATTAAGATAAAAACCTGGCTCAAGACATGCTGATGGTGAAAAGTTAAGTTAGAACTAAGAGAAAAAGCTCCCAGGAAGTCCAAAAGCTGTAGCCAGGTTGGTAAATCAGTAAGTTTTATGAAAGAAGGCAGTGGCAAGCCACTTGGTATTGGTATGGAGTCATTAAATGAGATGGGTGGCCATAGAAATTGAATAAATTAACAAATGTACAAGCAAATAGATGTAAAGATATCTGCTTGGCGTGGCCATTCAGTCAAAATAAATCAAGGAAATTGTTACCTTTTTACTCTAAAATGTGATGCAAAGAAAAGATTTGAGTCTCTAGCATCCTTAGCCAAAAATGTAGCTAACAGGACAAATAGCAGAAAACCTTGGAGAAGAGGAGCAGCTGGTTCAAGGATTGTGTGCTCTATTACTAGGAATCTCCATTTATTACAATGACAATTCACTTGAGAATTATAAAAAGTGAGTATATTGGCATTCATATTGCATTTAATATATTTTGCATTGTAAATACTGTATTAGAAATAGATGAGCTTTCCATATAAATTAAGGCAAAAACATGCTTTTTTATTATTTGTTATAGACTTTATGGCCCCAAAGGTTTGAAACTGAAAAAATGTCATTTGGAATTAGAGGCTGAGTTTCTCCAGTGATATTTAAGAATACCTGTTGGCTTGAAAAAACAAAATAAAACATAACTATTTTTTTAAACTATCATTTAGTTTGTCTTCTCATTGTTTTCAATATTCTGAAATTCCTTGATTTTGTTTTGTAATTTGTCTCAATTTATTTCACACTGAAATCGATTTCTCTACAAGATCTGAAGGCATCTTTTTTTCTTCCTCATCATTTTAGCTTATTGCATACTATTTACCTGGTAATCTTCTTTTTCTCTATCCTCTATTTATTAAAGAGAACCATAAGGTTTTGAGGGGCAGGGATATGATTAAAAAGAGGATTTTTTTCAGCTAGAATTACTATATAATTTTGTTTTTCCCTTTAGAGAAAAACTAAAGCAGCTTATAGAAAAAAGGATTGGAAAGGAAATTTTTATTGAGAAATTGGGATTTATTAGCAAACATGAATTCTATTCCCGAGCAGCTCAGAAACCACAGCCAAACTTTTCTAGTCCTGATCATATGATGTTTGATCATGAATTTACAAAGCTGGTGAAAGAACTGGAAGGTGAGACTTGTTACATCATTTCTCCTGATTTTATTTGTTTATTTCTTGAAGTATTACATTTGAAAAAGGAGAAAGTACATTTTACCAGCAGTTCTAATTCTTTTTTTTAAAAAAAATCTTGTGCCATCAAAATCAATAATGTTATATAGATTAAAGGTATACAATTTCTGAAATTTCTGATGAAAAAGTTATGAGAATTCAGGGAAAAAATAACAAAAATTATACATTCATGGCCTTTATTATTGCACCATGTAGAGAGAAAAGGTCAATTTCTTTTTTTTAAAAAAGCATTACGCAAAGTATATTAATTTAATTTTTAAAAAGTTTGTAACCAATGGAGGTGTAGATTTCTGGATATAATGAAATGTAGCATCTCTTCATTCATTCATTTTTACTTGCTTAGGACCATCAGGTTAGCAAAAAGTTAATTTTGAGAAAGGAGGAAGAAACCATTTACTTTGTGGCAAAATAAAGTAAATGATACATTATAAATACATATAGAAGATTAATGTTTCAAAAGAAACTGAAAACCAAGTAGAGGAGACACTAGAGCTCAGAATTCAAATGTTGCCACATGAAACAATCCACAGTCATTTTCTGGGTTCCTTAGCAGGCTCTGCTTCTTCTGCTTCATTTTTCCATGGACTTCTGAAATTTTCACTTATTTTGAGATAAACCTTTTGCATATTTGTCTATTTCATGATTTGATTTGAATATTTTGAAACAGCAGTTTTCTTCAAATGTATAGTTTGTATATTTTCACTCTTGGGCAGAAGGCTTGAGAAAAAATGGTTTGTTCTTTCTGAGGCTTTCATATTTCTCCACAGAAATCAGAGAATATATATTATGCTTGTGGTGTATTATTGTACTAGTATTTATTGAACTCATTTAAATGTGAAACAATTGTGGAGAGTTAAGCTCAGTGGGAAATTGGGGGTGGGGATAAACATTGCAACAGGATTGGTTAACCCACAATATGACTGAGAAATGTTTCCTGATCCATTATTTATTGAACATTTTTATCAAACTGTTTTGTTTTGTTTTTCATTTTAAAGTAACAGTATTATCGGATAAGAACGTTTTTAGCATAATAAAGAAAAAATCTGAGTGATTGAGAAATACTGAATAGCCATTATCAAGTTAATGATAAGGCACCCTTTAAACTATGAATCTCTATAGTCATCTAGAATGCTACAACATTTCACTTAAATTGTCTAATATTACAAATAATCATTTTACAGGAGTTATAACAAAGGCAATTTATAAGTCAAGTGAAGAAGATAAAAAGGAAGAAGAAGTGAAAAAAACTTTAGAACAGCATGACAACATAGTGACACATTATAAAAATGTCATTAGAGTACAGGTAAATAATGTATCTTGTTTTAAGTGAATTGCATTTAATCTCAGGAATATTGTGCATATTTAAAGAGGCATGTCTTAAGCCCAAATTACACTTTATATTGAAATTTATTTAAAATTATAGCATTTGTTAATTGAAAAAATGGAAGTATTGATTTGTATTGAGCATGGGGAAGAGAAGTTTAACTCATACATATCCAAAAATATGCAATGCAGCAAAAGGCACCTTTTGATGATAAATTTGGTATATAAATTAATACTTTCCATTATTCATTGTAATTTCAGTTCTGGCAGGCCTTAGGTTTTTTTATAAGTGTCATGTTGTAAAATTGTATATTAAATAGCATCAAATAACTGTCATTATGCAGTGTGTTGTTTTGCCTTCCATTAGGCTGGCCATGGTTGTTCTTGTTCTTGTTAGATTTTTAATCCCTCTTGTTTTATATATAATTGAACATAGGAAACATACCTAATACTCCTTTCCTCCATTCTCCCAACAATAAACTTGCATGGTAGACTGGGTGAGAGTAACTGGCCCAAAGTCACTCAATTGTCTCCCATGGCTAAGGCAAGTCTAGAACTCCCAGTCTTCTGGTTTCTAGCCTCTTAACTACTACACCAAACTACCTATATAGTTCGTAGTCTTATATGTATAGTACATTGCTGCTATAATATGCATCACCTAAATTCCATTTAACACTAGATAAGAATTGCAACCACTAGTTGGTTGTTAAGATTAAAAAAATAGCTATAACACATCAATTAGTCAAACTTGTTACTCATACTTGAAAGATATTATAGGTAATTCTTATTTAATGATCACTCATTCAGTGACTGTTCAAAGTTACGACAGCACTGAATATGGGAGACTTATAACCAGTCTACTAAATTGTGACTGTCCCCATTGTCCCCTCAGGCAGGTGATCAGGATTCCAGCACTTGACAACCTGCACATCATAAATGTTTGCAGCATTCTGTGATTATGATCGCTATTTACAATCTTCACAGCTGGCAAAATCAAAGCTGGTGGGATTTGCAAGTCACAGTCACGTGGCATCACACTTAACAACCCATGGTGATTTGCTTAATGATTAAAGCTGGAACTGACAAACTGCCATTGTAATGATTTTTCACTTTATGAAAATGTCATTTAGTGATGAAGTTGCCAGTCTCAATTATCATCAGTAAGTGAGGATCCCTTAGATCTTCTAAACTCTCTCCAGAATTACTTTTTGGAATATCCTCTTGACATGAAGAGGACCTGACCTCTTATTGTACAGATAGACCTTGACTTATGCCTACAATTGGGCTGAAACATCTATCACTAAAATTCAGACTGTGACTGAATTTATGATCTATTTTGCCTCATTCATTAAATGAATAATGGTAGTTGTTAAGCAATTCTGGCTTCCCCCATGCTTGTCAGAAACCAGTTGGGGATTATGTGACTCAAGGGCACTGAAATTGTCATAAATACATACCAATTACCAAGCATGTGAATTTCCTTCCCATGATCACAGAGATGATCACAGAGATGCAACAGACATACAGTAAGTAGGAGGATGAATTGTAAGTCATTTTTTTAGTACTGTTATAGACGGTTGCTACATCTTAAATTAAGGAATACCTGTAAATGGTAGAAGTAGAATAGTTTAGTCCTTGATACATTTTTTATCTTATCGTGTTCCAGAGAATCCCCAGAACTATTTTATCTATATTGCACTAACCAAATAGAATTGGTCAGTTTAGCATCTCAGTTAGAAATCTGGTAAAAGATTCAAAGTTCCAGGCATAATTAGATAGTAGATCTATGTTAAAGAAATGGATGCAAACTTAATTTTGTTTCTTTTTATTTTATTTTAAAGGATCAGGAGCTTGAGGAATTGAAGAAACAAATAGAATCATTTAAAATTCAAAATGAACAGTTGCAGACAGCAGTTACGCAACAAGTTTCACAAATCCAGCAACACAAGGACCAATATAACCTCCTTAAAATACAGCTAGGTAGTAATGCTAATAGTATTTTATGTAGTTTTTCCTGAGGAATAACTTGCAGGCCATGGTATTTAAATTGTGCTGTGTTGTATATATTTTCAACACCTCAAGAATGTGGTGAATTGGCATTAATCATTAACAGACAATGGGCTATTTAAATACCTGGAGTCAATCTGGAGTCAATCTCAGAGTTTCATCTAGATTATCATCTATAAAGTGGGAATATTTTTTTCAAGAAGCCCAAAAAGACAAAGGGAGATATAGTGGTGGAAAGAAAAATTTAGACAGATAAATTAAACAGTTGCTTTAACTGATAGCACCAGTTTGGACTCACAGTGCCATCCCTCCCCACTTGCCTTAGAAGCTAAGAAATTTCTTGTTTATATTTCACTGTCAGAAGACAATGATAACATACTTAACATTGTTCAGTCTCAAAACCTAAGCAGGGTTGAGCTTAATTAGTCCAAGGATAGGGAAACCACTTGACAGTTCTCTGTGGGTTTTACAGAGAAATTTAAAAAGCATTTTAACAGAAGAGAGTAGCCATCTGATTTTTGTAATCCTGCCAAGAAAACTGCAGGAATATTATTACCCAATGATGAGCTTGAAAAGACGATATCTTTTTCTTTAATTTTTTTCTTTGTCTTTATCATAGTTTCTACCAATCAGTTGATCAGGTAATAAATCTGATACACCAGAATATCTCTGTAATCCAACTCTTTTATTCATACTATATATAAATAGTCTTAAGAATCTTCCATACACATCCACTTAAGCTCTTAGATAAGTATCATAGAGAATCATAATATTTCTCCTTCCCCCTCCCTCTTTAGTACATTTCTAAGCATTTCAGCAATTATCAGATACTGACCAGTAAAATAAATTACATAAAATACCATATTTTCCGGCGTATAAGACGACTGGGCGTATAAGACGCCCCCCCACTTTTCCTGTTAAAATATAGGGTTTGGGCTATACTCGCCATATAAGACTACCCCTCTTCCAACGCACACCAAATAAAAATTAAAAAACATCAGCTGGCTTACCCACAATGTAAAAGCAGCTGTGCTAGACCCAAAATGGCCCCTGCAACAAGCAGGAACCTCACACAGCCACAAAAAGCCTAAAAACCCAACTTTCACACTTTACACACACAAAATTCCACATACAGCTTTGTGAGATTTTGTGTGTTTGTGTAGTTAGAGTGAAACACTACAGAAACACACTAAATCTCAGAAAGCTGCACAAATATTATTTTATTTTATTTTATTTTTATATGAAAGCTAAATTTAAAACTTCCTAAACTTTAAATGGCTAGGTCTAAAAAAGAACAACTAAAAAAAACTCCAATTAACTATTTTTTTTAAAGCTCCCAAAGGGGAAGAGGGCTCTCCAACCTTGGCAACTTTAAGACTTTAAGCTTTGCTTTGCTGGCTGAGGAATTCTGGGAGTTGAAGTCCACAACTCCCTGCCTGCTTGATTGCAGGCAGGGAGTTGCTTGCTGATGGAATGGATTCAGGCAAGCGAAGCAAGGCAAGCGTTGCGATAGCAGCTAAGGTAAGCAAGCTGGAGGGGGAAAACTTTTTTCCTTTTACATGGCTCTGGCGATCCAAGCTGAGTTGCCTGATTAGCAGGCAACTCAGCTGGGATCGTCAGAGCTTGGATCGCCAGAGCCATATAAAAGGAAAAGACTTTTTTCTTTTTACATGGCTCTGGCGATCCAAGCTGAGTTGCCTGATTAGCAGGCAACTCAGCTGGGATCGTCAGAGCTTGGATCGTCAGAGCCATTTAAGGCTTGTCAGAGCCTTTCGGGCTGGTCTACCTGGTTACAGGAGAACGACACCCGGCGTATAAGACGACCCCCGACTTTTGAGAAGATTTTCATGTGTTAAAAAGTCATCTTATACGCCGGAAAATACGGTACCAATATTTGAAAGTTTTGCCTCAAGAAAAGCTAGTTTAAAAAGTGAAATGTTTAGAACAATATTAAATATCATTCCTCATGATGTATTTATTTGTCCTGTTTTATTTGCCATTTTATCCTAGAATTTCTGTTTCTATTTCTCTGTCTGACAGTCAATAAGTAGTTCTCTGATACAGTTTTTTAATTTTAGTTCTTCTGCATTAATTTCCTAGTGGAATTGTAATTTTGAAATACATTGAAGTAAGAATGTTTTAATTTTCTATCTGAAATGCTAGAAGTTAATCATTTTATAATGTGCTTAATAGGAAAAGACAATCAGCATCATAGTTCCCACAGTGATATGGCTCAGATGAATGGTGTTCAATCAGAAGAAATCAGCAAATTGCACATTGAAATGGAGGAATGGAAGCACAAACTGGAATTACTGCAAGAACAGCTAAGAGAAAAGGATTCTTTGATTGAAACCCTGGTGAGCAGTAAAGTTTCATTCTCAGTAATCGGCTTCTGATCTGGTCTGAAACCATCAGTTTTTCCTGATCAGATCTAAAATGGTGATTAAGAAATTGTTTCCTTTCTTCTGTTTCCAAATCACAGCAGACCATAATTCCTTCAAATCAGAGGAAAGAAATATATCCAAGCGGTAAATTTTTATTCTTTGTACTGGGGGCAAGGAGCACCTAGACCACAAGCCTAAATACATTTTATGAGGGCCGCCTTTCTGAAACCCTTCTTAATCTCAAAAAGTGGTTCCAAAGCATGGTTCATGAAATAGTTGAGCCATATAATTGCCGGATACATAATTTATTAAAAGTTGTTCCCTACATTAGTCAGTTTTTACAGATAACTTCCTTGTGACATTAATGATGTACTTAGGTTCTCAAGAGGTTGCTTTGATACCTTGATTGTTATCTCATCCAAGAAGTTTCTTTAGCTCTTTAGGACATCCATGGCCTGGATGTTTGAGAATCTCCACAGATGATCATTACATGCATTTTGCAGAGATTTCTGTAAAACCTTCCCATTTTTTTATTTTGATCACAGATGTATTTTTTTTAACATTTGTCAAAACTAGGACAACAGTGCTGGAAAATTTTGCATTGATATGGATTAGCTGTTATGGACATTCTTTAAGATGTAGACCTTTAGAATTTAAGTAATATGGTGATTCAGAGGCACTTGCTCTCTCCCACTATGGAATTGCCCCTTTATTAAGATCAGCAGTATAGGCTATTTGAAGATTCCCCCCCACCCCCGGGGACACACACGGACACACCATAGGACATAGCTTCATCTGTCTATCACAGCTTCCCCTATAGAATGCTTTTCCTAAGGGAATATTTGGTGCATATTGTCCTAATATTTAAGGAAAATGGCAAAAGAGCCATTTTCTTTTTTTGCCAGACTTCCACCTAATTATTTTTATGGTATTTTAACTTTGAACCAGATTTAAAATCAATTGATTTTTTTCATGTGTTATATTTTATATGCTGTTGCAGTTATTCTAAGTTAGGAGTATCAAACTCAAGGCCCAGGGCCCTGGAAACAGCAAAGGACTGGCCCACAGTGCTTCTGCCAGTGAAAATGGAGCTCCGGAGGGCCATGTGCGGCCCTCCCGAGCTCTGTTTTCACTGGCAGAGGGTTGCAGGAAGTCGTGGCAGCTGAAAATGGAGCTCAGGAGCCTGTTTTCATTGGCAGAGCACTTGGGCCACCAGCATGTGCCCCCAGCATGAGTGACATTGAGCTGGCTGTGCCCACCCTGGCCATACCCAGCTTGGCCCTCCCAAGATCAAAACACAACTCTGATGCGGCCCTCAATGAAATCGAGTTTGACACCCCTGTTCTAAGTTATCTCAGTTTATGATTAGGTGGTATACTGAATGAATGAATGAATGAATGAATGAATAAATGAATGAATGAATGAATGAAGTAATCTAAATAATGGGTTTGGATGATATGATGATAAAATGTATTGATAAATTCAGTGGATTCTTATTGGTATATTGAATGTGGTTTTGTATAGAAATTTTTTGTTTGTTTTAAATCAGAATTTTATTAAAAACTTAACAGCTTACTGCCTTGGCAGTGGTTTAAATCCATAAAATTGAAACCTGTTTCTAGAAGCAATAGAAAATGCGAAATTACCCACCAATTTTATATGACTTTATTTTCATTTCATCAGGAATAAATTGGAATCCTGGCAAATTAAGCTTTATTTTTAAAAACTGAACCTGGGTTTATAGATGAAATACTATGGATTTACTGATTTCATAATTGTTTAGAAATCATAACATAAAAATGGAATCTAATTTATTTTTTTTAAAAGCGTGACTATTTCAAATACTTCTCGGTATTCCCAGCACGTTTGTTAGCATGGGATTTTTAAAAAAATAATATGTAAGATTTAATTCAGTTTGCATAATTTATTTTCTCTCCTATATGCAGTATACCAAAATGCTAGTTTTCTAATTTCCAAGATGATACCAATCATTATTGTGTGATTGTCTGAAGCTATAATCCTGGTTGCTACTTTTTCAAAATATAAAACCAGAATAACAGTATTAAGTACTTATGCTTTTTAAATAACTGGGTGTTTTTATATGTCTGATGTTTGTAGAAACTTTCAACAACAATGGAAGAAGCAACAGAACAATCATCACAAACTAATTTATCTACTGGAACTCAGTTAAATAGTGAACTGTGTAAGGTAGGAAACTGCTATAGCCTATTTTAAAGTATTTGGGAGAAACCATGCATTGCTTGCTCTCGAAGTATGACTACAATTTGAATGAAAAGGGTGCCCTTTCCTTGATTTTGGAACTAGATCCTATGGGTTTTTAATTGTACTATTCAGTTTTCTCTTTTTTTCCCCCTGTGTCAGATTATTAGGATGGGGAGACCAACCTGATTTCTATTATGTGTTTCATATGAGGATCACTGCTGATCTCACAGGCAATCTTTAATTGTCTTTGGTTCCACATTCTTCATGAGCTAAAGTATCTTCAAAGTAGCTCAGTGAGATACACATAGTAGAAATCCAATTTGGATATATCTCTAACATAAACTACTATGCTGTATTTTCAAGTATAAAAATTACAAGTGGACCAATCTGAGGTGGGGAAAATATTTTATGCCCCAGCTGAGAACTGGGCATCAAACTCAATCTAAAGACTCTTGATCCATTCTTATCCAAAACAACACCAATATTTTCTTAGAATAAGAATCTGGTCTACATTCAGTTCAATTTATAAAATTAGCTTCTGTGATATTTGAGAGAAATAGACTGAAATCTGCATGTTACCCATACTTCAACAGCAAACCCACTTCAAATTTATTAATATTTTTACTATCATATCTACTATAATATAATTAGTCTTGGACCTATAAATAAATATATGTTTAGCTGAATTTAATAATTTTTTCTCTTACAGGAAATTGAAAACTTGAGGGCCCAAATAATCAAGCTTCAGGTTGAGAAGCAAGAACTTCAGAAAATGGTAGGATCTTAAGAATTTTGCTTGCCTTTTAGTTTCTGGTTTGTTTAGTTTTTGTGTGTGCATGTGTGTGTGTGAATTATAATAAATAGAAGTAATCCCTTAATCTCTTTGCCTTTTCAGTATCAGCCATCAATAATCATATTTGATTCTTGGCTATACTGTACCATATAAAACAATCACAATTATTACAGTTTCTGAAAACTATTATCTTTATAATTTTGTTCAGTGTTATTTGTTTTTCAGAACCTGACTTCAGTTCCTGCATCAGAAGACAGTAGTGCTGATATGATAGCAAAGACAACTGACTTGGAAAAACAACTTTCAGCGATCTTGCAGGAGAATAAAGAATTAAAGGTATTTAATTAATAAAACATACTAATAAAGCATATTGCATATTTAACTTTAGAGTTAACAGTCTATAGTTTATAACTGCAGTTTTATTGGATTATTGGCACATAATGCTTTTTACATTTTTAAAAAATGTCTGGATGTAATGATTGATGAATTAACTATAGATTATAATAGGCATTCCAGAGAAAAAATATTATTCTCATTGTTAATTATGATGTGAATTTACTTCTTGCTGATGTTCTCTTATGTTTAGGTATTGATACTAAAGTCTTTAAGCAGGCAAAACATGTGAGGTCTTATTGCTCATAAACTTGGTCAAAAAAGTACTTTTAAAGTATGTAGAGTCACAGTTCTTTATTGCTGGAATCTTTATTATGTGTCCTCATCCTAAAGCTGTTATACTGTAATATACAGTACATTGAGATATCAAAAGATGTTAGCCTGAGATGAGATCTGAGCAATGATCAATCAGTAATGCATGCTGAGATTTGCTACACTTTTATTTTCTTCCATCTTCAAAGATCTGTTCTAGAATCATTTGTCAAGTTTCTAAAAATGAACAGAGCATTTGAGAAACGGATATTGAAAATCTACTAAAGATTAACCATGTGAAGCATAAACTTCCAAAAAACAGATTTTAGATGAGGGTCAATAAATCATTGCATATGAACATATTTATATGGAATACTTAAATCACCTTAAAATGAGATTGAGTTTTATGGTATATGAAGCATATTCTTCTTCCTTCCGGACACAACTTTTTAATTGATGGTAAAGTCTCTCTGAATGTAATATTTTTTTCTTTTCTACGCCAGAATGAAATTGCAAGACTCAGTGAAGAGACGACTTCATTTAAACAGCAATTGGAATCATCCAATAGCACTGTGGCAATTTTGAAAAATGAAAAAAGTAAACTGCAGCAGGAAATTGCAGAATCTAAAAAAGAACAAGATGATTTTCTGGTTCTTTTGGCTGATCAAGATCAGAAAATAATTGGATTAAAGAATAAACTCAAAGAACTTGGAGAACCGGTAAGAAACAAAGTTTGCAAAAGCACATGTGAGACTTGAATTTTCTGAAACAATTTAGGGGTAAATTTATCATCTTTTGTTGTATGACTTTAGATGTATGACAAAGCTATATTTTTGTGTTTCTGCCCCCAAGTTCCTTCAGCCCTTTAGAACCATGGCATTCAGACTGTGTTCCCTGGAACATCAGAATTCCATGACTATCACCTACGGTCTCAGCATTCACAGTCTTGGTTTACCTTGCATGAAATATATTACTGCAACACTAATTTTAACATTTTGTTAAAATAAAATATATTGCATGAAATATGTTAATTAATGAGTTACAGATTGAGATAGATTGTACATTGAGATAGGTTGTTCGGATATATCAGTTTTGAAGACTACTGCTCTAAAAGAATGTGGTTTAACTGCCACATTGGTAATTCTGACTTCCTCTGGGCAAACCCTGCATGCTTTGGAAGTTGGAGAGGGAGAATGGCAACCAAAGAGAAATTAGGAAGAGAAAATGTCTCTGGACCATTATCAGCAAAATGTAAGAGATGTTAACTGGAGGCACTGCTCTCCTCTACTTTTATCCTCTATAGAAGGGATGTCAAACTCAATTTCATTGACAGACATATTAGGGTTGTGTTTGACCTCGGGGGGCCAAGGGGGCCATGGCCAGAGGGGCATGGCCAGCTCAACATCACTCGTGTCGGGGGCGCCTGAGTGCTCTTCCAGTGAAAAAGGACTCCCAAGCTCATTTTTGGCTGCAACGGCCTCCCTACAACCTTCTGCCAGCGAAAACAGAGCTCGCAGGGGCCGCACGCAGCCCTCCCGTGCTTTGTTTTTGCTGGCAGAGGCACTGTGGACAAGTCTTTCACTGTTTCTAGAGTGGCCCTGCAGGCCAGATCTAAGCACCCCGCAGGCTGGATCCAGCTCCCGGGCCTTGAGTTTGACACCTCTGCTCCACAGTGCTATTGTGAGAGAGCAATTAAAAAGGGGAAAAAAGTGAAGGTTTAGTTTAAATACTTCTGTCTCTACCTGGTAGAGAAAGCTTCTAAAAGGGAACAGTAAAGAATCCAGTACCATGTTCTGACAGCTACCAGTACTCTCAGTGATGTGTGGCTTTCGGCAACTAATTTTACAACTAGAGATACTATATTATACAACTGTATAACTGTATAAACATAAATTAAAATTTACTATGCAGTTTTATTTATATTTTATTAAATAATTTATTTACAAAATTAAGTCAGTATAAAAGAAAAAAGATAAAAAAGAAAGTGTTGAAAACAATAGAAGAAAAAGAAAATACTTAAAAGAAACAAATGATCTTCTTTTCAGCAGTTATAGACACTTATATCTTTCTCCCCTTTAAAATTATATGGCATAAGCTCCATTCTCCTCAAATAAGCTTTTTTTTTTTAATCGATAAACCCAGAAATCAAATCCTTTTTATCTGTTTTAAGCAAAAAGTTCATAAAGTTTTTCCAGTCTTTTATAAAAAATAGTTGTCTTTTCCTTTCTGATCAAACAAGTCAATTTCACCATTCATTTAGTTGCATCTTGACCAACTTTTTCTGTTGATGGATTCTAATCTTAATATGCTATTCAAAGGCAAATGTGGACCTTGACCTGGTGAATGTAATGTTCTCTTGTCATAAATAAAATAAATACATTTCTATATTATAGATTCTACAATAAAACAAAAGGATTATGGCCTCAGATGATGGAGAAATGTTCTCTTTGAACTTAAGGAGATAGATTTAAATTTTAATTATTTGCTTGAGCATATTAAAATAATTAGCAAGTTTAAAAATAAGCTGTCCATTTAACATAATACACTAAATAGCAGTTTTATTTCTGTTTTCCCCCTAAAGATTGAAGATGAAGATGATGTGGATTTAGGTGATCATGGTGAGGATGAAGAGGAGGAGGAGGAGGAGGAGGAGGATGCAGAAGGAGAAGAAGAAAATTAATAGTACTTTATTGGGTTAAATATGGAATTTAGGAATGCTTTGAAATTTAGGAATGTATGAACCAATCTGGATGGCTTTGTGATGCAAAACACCTTGATAAAAGAAAAGATCATTAGAAAGTATCCTCAGTTTCTTAAATGTCAGTAATATATTGTAGCTATACAGAAGCCTAGTATGTTAAATTTCACATTCAGATCAAACAATTATTAACAAATTAGAAACCATTTTAGAAGCTGTAAGAAGGTAACAATGTTGGATTAAAATGTTTGCATATTTTCAGAGTGTTTGTCATTACTTAATTTTCTTATTTTGGATTATATTGTGATTAAATATGGTATGCATATGGCTAAAATCTCTTGGATGAAATTGTCTCCTGTATTCAGCTTGGAGAGTTTTACGTATTTTTTTTCTTAATACCTTTTACAAAAGATTGAAAGTGATGATTTGATTTGATTTGGTTTGGTTTGGTTTGGTTTGCTCAAGTTAAGTGGGTCATAGTTTCCTTGCTTTCTTCTCAGTGGATTTTGGCTTGAAATGAAATGAGCTGTTCAGCATTGAGTGCCTTGCATCTGAAATGGCTGCATTCTGTACCTTGAAAGTAAAAGGAGCTGCAACAGTACAGAGGGATTTTCAAAGATAAAGAGCACTATTTGATAGTATATTAAAGAAACATTTTTAGCAAAATTCCCATATAAAAGTTTAAAGGATATCAGATTATTATTTTGAAAACATATTTGTTTTATTAAAAAAAAACACATTGTGATTGATGATAATTTATTGAGGTTTCTTTTGCCCAGTAGATTTTAAAAAGTAAAGAAATAAATACAGTTGCTATATCAACTTACTTTTTCAATAATGAAAATAAATATATGCCTATTTAGTATCATTTATTTGACTGAGTTGTGATTGCTTTTTATTACGTTTAATGCTGTGTATTTTACATAAACACCCTAATAAATTCAGATTCAATTTTTAAAAGTATTACTGAAAAAATACTAGGGTCTCCATGTTTCATCAGGGAAAGTGCACAATTGGAAAAATTGGTTGCAAAATATGCTTACTCAGACCCTGGAATGAGTTGGTAAAAATATCTAGCTAGAGGGGGTGGGTGGGTGAAGAGGCTGATCTTAAGAGTGCTTGCACAGCAGAAAATGGCAAAAATCTTACTTTTCCCGAATTCCCAAAGCCTTATCTGATGGTTCCCAAGAGAATGCAGTCAGTCTAATGAGAGTTCTGTAAATAGGCATTGTAACAGTAAAGAAGTAACTTTGATCAACCTGGTATAGCTTGCTTCTGCTCAAAACTGACAAAAGTTTTAGACCTTGGGCTTTTATTTGCCTCCTAATCACTCTTCTGCCTTTTGACTGCTCATTCTGGTGCCGGGGTTATTAGCAAGAAGCAAATAAATATCTGTATCTACATTCACTGGAGAGGAAGGGACTGCAAGAAAGTAGACAGGCACACAGTAATGAATACATATTGCAGGGAATGTTTTGGCGCTGCCAAGCACAAGCCTGCTACACAAACAGCTGGCCGCATTTCTGTTTGTGTGCCTGCTTTTGCTTTGTAATTCCTTCTTAGCCAATCTTTTTGCTTTGCAGAGGCAGATGGGGCGATAGATCACATACAGTAAAAAAGAGAGGGAGGGAGGGAGGGATGGAGGGAGAAAAAAAAAACCCAAGCAATCTCTTTAGACAATCTTTCCAATATCTCTACTCTGCAAAGGTAGAAATAAAGAAAAACAAGAGGTGAGGCACATGACAATGTGTATTGACTGTACAGGTAGTCCTCATCTTACAACAGTTTGTTTAGTGACTATTTGAAGTTACAATGGCACTGAAAAAGAGTGACTTATGACTGTTTTTCACACTTAAGACTGGTGGCATCCCCTGGCCATGTGATCAAAATTCAGATGCTTGGCAACTACTTCATATGTAAGACGGTTGTGGTGTCCTGGGGTCATGTGATTACCTTACCTTCTGATAAGCAAAGTCAACGCGGAAGCCAGATTCACTTAACTGTGTTATTAACAACTGCAGTGATTCACTTAACAACTATGGCAAGGAAGGTCATAAAATGGGGCAAAATTCACTTAACAAATGTCTTACTTAGCAACATAAATTTTGGGATCAATTGAGATTAAGGGCTACCTATAGTGGCAATCACATGACTAAGGGACACTGCAAAGCTTGTAAATGTAGGCATTGGCCATAAAATTATTTTTTTCTGCACTGGTAATCTTTTAATAGGGTTTTTTAGAAAATAGGATTTAAATTGGTAATGTATAAAGGACGTATTTAAGGTTCTCCCTTTATTAAAATACAAGTAATATATGCTGCCCTGCAGCAAAATAAATTGCAATGCTATCTCAGTATCGTATTATTTCTGTTTGGAAATAAAAGTGTTCCCTACGCTTTCTTAATCTAATCTGGGATTAATTTTAATTTGTTGCCAAAGGTAGCTAAATCCCAGGTGACAAAAAAAATGCACTCTGAATATTAAATCTTGTCCATGGTACTATGTGAGTAACCAGAGTGAAAACTCTGGTTCTCTATTGAATGCTTTTGACATTTATCAAGCTGGTTTATATAAAGTCAAATCCATCTAATTTAGTTGGTTCTTCTGACTCACAACAACAACTAAAGCTCTAAAGATGAATTTCATTTTTTATTTCCTCTGCAATCCTCTAATTGGAGATGACAGAGATTGGCCCTAGAAAATTCCTTATCTTATTGTCTGGTTAATAGCAGTGCTCCAGAATGTTGAGCAAGCAAAATATGCAATCTTGTTTTCTGTAATTCAACAGGAAATCTCAAGTGCTAAATAGATTTGTAATTCTTTTCTGGCTAATAGTTGTTCATATTGTCGTGTAATCAAATATGCAACTTATTGTCTTACAGTTGTGTCCATGCTGTATGTAAATTATTGTTCACTGAGATTTTAATTTGCTTCATCAAAATTTTCTTCATTTATTTATGCACCCTTTTTTTATAAGATTTATTGCTAAAAATATTAATTAGCCATGGTCATTGGGTATTTGGTGTTAGCTATTCCTACGGTAATAATGGCAACATATATTTCAAGGCATCTAGTTCATACATATTATTTTAGGAGATAATTTTTGCAGGATAAATATAAAAAAGATAAATCAGAATGGTCATATATTATCTTCCACATAGCTGTCTACATTTGAATTCTAATGTAACTCAAGTGGACTGAGAAGTGATATAAATGAAGATAACAGGAGGGAGGCCTTCAAAAGAGGCGATGATACTATACCCCTAGGATTTTGATGTTTCTCACTTTGATGCACAATACTTGAACCCTCTCTCACTATTATATTTATTTACTAAAATATAATTTCTTCTATTAATGAATCTTAAGATAGGGTTCAATACAGAACAAAATTGATAACACTTAAAGAAAAATGTGGTCAAGAAACAGACTTAGCAAGTTTCCAGCAATGCTCTTTATTACTGTAGGTTAAATAACAGAATATTGAAAGCCTCTGTGCCTCATCTTACACCAAACAAAAATAAAGACAGATTATTTTGAATTTTTCAGGCTTTCCTAATTCTTAGCACTGAATATTCATTTCTGAATTGTTTAGCAGTTCATTTATTGATTCATCAATGATACATGATTTTATAGGAAACCACAGAGAACAAAAATAATTTCATATTGTGAGAGAATCATAAGAAGTATTGACATGATTCCCAAAATTTAAATATATTGTCTACATTTTTCCATTCACATTTAATTGGATTCAACAAATCATTTGGAAGTGCTGTGCCTAGGTATCATTTCATTAAAGACCAAATGAATTAAAGAACAAGCCTGAAGTTTAATACTTAGAATTTAAGAGATATTAAGCATCACCTCTGGGCATTTTAGTGATATAAAAAGTGGCATGCTTTGTTGTATCAACAGAAAATCCTTGGGTGACTGTAGGAAACTTGTTTCCTGGAGGGTGAGAAACTGATCCTAATTTCTTGCCATTTCTGAATGTAGTGGAAGTAGTTCTGAGTCTGGGACAATAATGAGGAGAGGGGATCTTCAGAAAAGAACATGCTGCAGCTCCAACAAAATGTATCCTTACACTTGGTTTTAGAGTCATAAAAGATGGAACCCTTGGAGCTTTCATTGCCAATATGCTGGTTCGTTGTCTGAGAGCTTGAGGCATTGGAGTAAGCCATTTGGAAGGCTGTGAAGAAATTTGCAGAAATTTTACATCTATGAAATGCTGGACTTCATTTCTATCACTACAATTGTCAACTAATTACATGGTAACTACTCTTATTCATCTAATATTGACCATAATGGCAATGCAGGTACATTTTTTTGAATTCTAGAATAAAAGAGATAAATAAGGAAATTAGGCTGTGAATATCCAAATCACAGATACATTCTATTAATAAGAGTGGGCCCTCTTAATGTTATTGGACATCAGCATACCTGACCACTGACGTTTTGGTTGGGCTTATGGAAGCTACATGTTCTTATCTGCATGAGGTAGACTAGGGCTAGAACAGCACCTAGTGCTTATTTTATTTATTTCAAGATGTCAAATACATGTCTATAACATCTCCCGTCACTCTGCAACCTTCCTGTATGCCCTGTTTGGGCATTTTTGTTTTTGTTTGAAGTAAACAAAAACTCTACCAGCTCTAGCCATTGATATCTTCTGCTAAGATACAACTTAGAGGCATTAGAAGCCAGAGAGGCTGATAGATCTCTGAAGTGGTGATTATCAATGAAAGTCACATTCAATTAAGAAAAGTACAGGACAAACCTACATCCCATTCTTGAGAATTCCACTGAACTTTTCTTCCATTTAGGAAAGAAATATGAAACCAATATCATTTCTATCAGATTTAAAGAGGATTCCCTGAAAACAGGAGACATTTTCAATATGATGTTATCCAATATTAATTATCAGGATATATATAAGGATAGTCCACTGAAGACATCTAGATACAATTCAGGTTCAAAGCAAAATAGGAAAACCTGTTTCATTATTTAATGCAGTTTGAATATCTAGTTGATAAACTGGATGGCTGTAAGTTATTTCTAATTTTGTCAGACTAGTGTTGGTAGTGCTCAATGTAGTATACAATTTGTATATTTTTCCACTAGATGACAGTATTTCCCATGCAAAGTTGCAAACACTATTATTCAGCCATGGAAAGATATAGCAACTTAGTTTGTTGAAATTGCACTGTTGAACCTGTTTGCAGAATAATATTGAATAAAATTGAGGCCGTTTTAGGGGCTCTTGCTATCTTTTCTGCCATATCTAAAAAGCATTTTTCTAAAGGGCTGAATATTCTCTATTGGAAAAAAAACTTGAAGTCCTCATTACAAGGGCTTCTATTAAATAGGCTCTTCCATTGGAAGGTCTCAACAGCTTCCCCATAAAAGTAGTTTATGGCCTACCACCATTATGTTCTCTCCAACCAGAGCTGTACCCTTTCTCCCCATGGGGAGAGGCATAATGCACTGGAAGGATCATGCTATGTTTGGCAGGGAAATGTTCAAACATAAGACAACTTTTTCCATCTCCTACCACTCTTGCATTCCAACCATCTCCTTCATCATGACTACAGAATAGGAATCCATGAAGGGGCTGTCACCAGTAACATGAAGATCAGGTTTTGGTATAATGATTGTTACCCTCTCTTCCCACCCCACCCGCACCAAATTATGTATGTTTTATGTCTAATAGAAGAAGAATGGAATATGTATTGGGATGTTACAGATAAGATACTTGTATTCTGTCTCACATGTAACCTTCACCTGCGTAATCAATCTGCCTTCCTCTTGCCTCATTCCAACTTAAATCCTACGTAGGTCTAGCCATTATGCATCTGATAACAAGTGCCTTCTTAGGGAAACCTATGCCCTTAAGAAAATGTGTTAGTCAAAAAGGATGCTACTAGATTCTTCCTGATTTTTTGCTACCATAGACTAACACAGATCTCCTATAATGTGTAAAGAGAGGCCATGGCTTGGAAGTACAAGATTTAGAATTTCTGACAAGTATCACCCATGAGAATTAGTGAGAAATGGAATTCCTGCCCATTTGGTAAAGCAGCAGGGACGAAAAGCTCATATAGGCAAAAACAGGTTGATAATAAATTACCTGCATCTGGAATATGCATTTTCTGTACCCACTACTGCTATCCCTGCTATCTGCAAATAATAAGTGGCCTCCAATCTGTAGGTAGGAAAAAAAGTCAGGAGAGTGAATTTCCTCTGAATTTCTGAAAGCAAAGGTGGTACTATGATCAAACTATACATCCTGCATTGCTTGTCTTATTTTCCTCCTTGTCTGCATTTTCCTTTGGAAAGAAATGCCATTGCCATGAGAAAGTCTTAGATGGATCTGTCTGTCTCTGTCTCTGTCTCTGTCTCTGTCTCTGTCTCTGTCTCTCTCTCTCTCTCTCTCTCTCTCTCTCTCTCTCTCTCTCTCTCTATATGTCTTCATTAGCTCGACGCCTGTGCTTTGTTACGAAACTATGTGCTCAGGCTTGATAAATTGACACTTGTAGCCTGAAACTTAATGTACAATGTGTAACTCTGTAGCATCAGAGTGTTAATATAATGCAACTGGCAGTTGGAACGGAGGGGAAGGGGGAATAGAATGTCCCCAGCCTGCAGCATCCATCGGTATTCATCTGGCTAGCATCCTGTCAGTGTGTGAAAGAGTTGAGGAGTGTTTGGAAACTCAAAACAGTATTTGCTGTGTGAGCAAGAAGGAGACAGGAAGAAGGCTGGGCATGGATTAGCTCAACTGTTCTGTAGTAAAGCTGCTTGCTGCTGTGAAAGTAAAACTGTTTTGCATTTGGAACAGATTTCTTTTCAGGTGGGGAGGGCGAATAGAACTCCTTAGCATCAGAGCCTGTTAATCATAATATAGGAAATATTAATGCTCTGATGGTTACTTCGAAAAATCCTTTCTTAGTGAGCACCTAGAAGCCAAGAGGAACATATATGGCAAATTTCACGTTTGTAGGTTTTACGGTTCTGGAGATTTTATGATTAATGTGCGAGTGGTTTTCACTTTTATATATATAGTTCTATCATCTAGATAGATCCATCCATCCATCCATCCATCCATCCATCCATCCATCCATCCATCTATCTATCTATCTATCTATCTATCTATCTATCTAAATTTTAGAAATTCACTATTATAATAGAAACCTTTTTTAAAAAAAAAAAAACCATGGTAGCAATAACACAATCAAATCAGCCATTTGATCAGCTTCATCTCAATTCATGGTCCCCAGGCCTGGTGACGAAACCACATTTTTAGGGCTTATCAGACAAGTAAAAGGTGGAGGCCAACTTTACATTGGAAGGAAATTGGGGGGAAATGGAAGAAGAAGCCAACACCAAGAAGGCCGTTTTGGTGGTCCCAGATACTCATCTATAATTGATGGGACATGAAACATGCCTTCCTATCCTGGTAGGCTAGGCTAATTAAATAAGGGAGGGGAGGCCCCAAGAGATACTGGGTTTTAAAGGTTATAACCAGCAACTTGAATTGAATCAATAAGTAGATTAACAAGTGCACCTCCTGCAGAAGAGGTGAGAAATGTGCAAGTCTAGGCTTGCACAAAACTTCTGATTGCTGCATTCTGAACTAATTGAAGCTTCTGAATACTCTTCAAGGACAGCCCTATGTAGAGAATATTGTAATAATCCAGACAGGAAGTGATTAGGGTATAGGTGATAATGAGAAAGTCACATTGGCCCAGGAATGGACATAACTGGTACATAACATTAAGATATGCAAAGGCCCTCCTAACCACGACTGCCACTTGCTCCTTGAACAGGAGTTGTGAGTTCAGGAGAACCACCAGATTACATACCGGATCTATCTGGGACGGTGCAACCCCATGTATGGCAAAAGATAGTAATTATCCAAGAGTCAAAAAACCCTAGATCAGAGCCATTCTGTCTTACCAGAGTTCAATTTTAGCTTTTTGCTCCCCATCCAGACGTCGACAGATGCTGAGAGAGGGCAGTCACAGCTTCTCACCATACACCAGCAATATGAGAACTATCTTTGTGCCATCAGTGGGCCACCCCAGAACAATACATTTCAGTAATGACAGATATGAATATATAATTTAACATAAGAAAACTGTTTTCCAGAAATGGTAAAATAAAAGATTACTTACACAAAGTCGATGCGAAGGAAAGATCTGCAAGAAAGGAATGGAACAAATATTAATGCTAGCCTGTTTCCATTCTGACTTATACAGATCCTACACATAGATTTCTGGGAACCTACAAAATATCTGTACACCTTTACTTCCTTTAGCTTCATGAAATTATTTTTCAGGGCAGGCACAATATCCTCCCATCTGCATTAGTATATGGCAAATTCCTCTATCTCAGCGTGCTGGCTGGGAAATTTTGGATGTTGAAGCCCACCCATCTCAAACATGCTGAGATTCATAAACATTGTTCTAAAGGACACCATAGCCTCCCCACCCCCAGATATATCTCTCTTACAAACTAGTCACTTAATGACCATTCAAAGTTACAACAGACTCCAAAAAAGTTAGTTATGACCCATCCTTGACGTTACAATAGCCACACAGACTCCCACAGTCATGTGATTGCATTTTAGGCAGTAGGCAACAGGTTTGCATTTATATCAGTTGCTGTGTCCTGTCGTCATGTGACCATGACTTGTCACTTTTTGCCAATTTCTGATATTTTTTGCCAGTTTTAGACAAAAATGCCCATTCTAGAGATTGGATTCCCTTAATCGCCACAAGATTTACTTAATATCCACATGATTTTCTTAATGACCATGGTACTAGCTTTATGACCATGATTAAAAATGATGGTAAAATTAAATCAGGTGACCCGCTTAATGGCTGCAAAGATTGATGATCAAAACTCCAGATTCAAATGTGGTTCTTGTGAGGACTTCCTATATTAAGTGTACCTGGGAGAACAGGGTTTTTTATAACTTTTACTTTCAGTCTCAAATTTTGAAACCATTACAGTCAGATTTATTGTCACAGCAGTTAAAATGAAGCAGCAATTAACATAAGACATAGCCTGTCAATTTTTTCATTTTCTTTTAACTGTTTGATTTCTCTGAAATTTGTTTAAATTTAAAGAGCTTTAGTGGAACTTACATTGCTCTGATTTCCAACAAGAACACTATAAGTAGTGTTTACACAACCCATTTTAAATATATATAATATCTTCATTTTTATGGTTAATCAAATCTCTATGAAAACTTTGCCTTGGAATCTGTCAAATTGGCTTGCAGACCAGCAGCAGCACCAACTTTATTTTTTATTAAACCTTCCAGGTGGCATTAACTCCTTTCCACAATAAATGCCTCTCCAGAAGAGCATTCAGGCTGGGAATTCTGGAAGTGGTGCCATCACGTCTGGAATGTGCCAGAGTAACACATCCTATTCTACCTTTCCCCTCCATCACTCCAATACCTATAGTGTGATATCTCATCTGTTTAGATTATAGAGGTGGCCAGAAAGAGACCTGTAACATGGTTCAAATAGCAAGGGTAGAATATCTATGACTTAATTCAACAGCATAGTGTAATGGATTGAGTAAAAACTGAGTGTTGTTACAATTTCCTACATGTTAAGCAACTGAGTTTTATCTTTCTAGGAATTGCATTTAAAGGAATTTATTCTGCAACATTACTAAAATTAAATGGCATCAATACTTTAATGCAGTAACTGTTATTGATGAATAACTTCTTGTGCTTACCAACTGTGCATACTGAGCTCCGTACTTCGACACAGGATAGGCAATTGTAATCTGTTCAAGATATATTAAGAAAATATGTGGTTATTGCATGATTTGATACTTAAAAGGGAGGGCACACCACTGCTATATGTATCTGATAGAAATGTACGCTATATTTGGGCTGATTCAGGAGATTCATCAGCTATCCAACTGAAGCAATATTATTCCAATGCAGTCCAGTTCAGACCAGAAGGTCTCAAATGTTGATCACTGAATTCAAAAGACATTTTTTTCCACAGATCTTTCCTCTCAAGAGAACCCCAGAAAATGGAGGAGGAGGAGGAAGAGGAGGAGGAAATCGGACTGGGAGATAAATATAAATCTATATATTGATAAAACTTTTTAGACCCATTGTGATGAAATGATGTGTGCTGAGTAGCCAGCACAATGATGTAATCCTGATACACACTTTCCCCTGCCTAAATCACAGCTTTTGTATCATTTGTATCATTGATACAGGCAGTCCTTCATTTACAAGCATTTATTTAATGAGCATTCAAAGTTGCAACAGCACTGAAAGAAGTGACTTATGAACAGTCCCTCCATTTAATGACCATTGCAGCATCCCCACAGTCATGTGATTGAAATTTAGGTAGTTGCCAACTGGCATGTTTTTATGACAATTGCAAAATCCTTGGGTCATGTGATCACCATTTGAGACCTTCCCAGCTGACTTCCAACAAGCAAAGTTAATAGCAATAGCATTTAGACTTATATATGGCTCCGCAGTGCTTTATAGCCCTCTCTAAGCAGTTTTACAGAGTCAGCATATTGCCCTCAACAATCTGGATCCTCATTTTACCCACCTCGGAAGGATGGAAGGCTGAGTCAACCTTGAGCCTGGTGAGATTTGAACTGCCAAATTGCCGGCAACCGGCAGTCATGTGGGAAACTGGATTCGCTTAATGACAACATGATTCACTTAGCAACTGCAGTGATTAGCTTTACAACTGTGGCAAAAAAGTCAGTAAAATCAGATGTGGCACACTTAACTGCGTGGCTTAGCAACCAGTGATGGGTTTCACTTACCTTTGCTACCGGTTCACTCGCACGCACATGCTCACTTCACTCACGCGCATGCCATTTCTGTGCATGCACAGAAGTTTCTGTGCATGCACAGAGCGTATTTCATGACATCCTGGCGGGTGGGTGGTACCTCCCACTGCCGCTGCTACCGGTTCACCTGAACCAAGGTGAATTGGTAGCAACCCACCACTCTTAGCAACAGAAATTCTAGTGGTTGTAAGTTGAGGACTACCTGTATAAAATTAGGTCTTGTTTCAAAAAAGCTAAGTACTGCCGCTTTATGTTACCTATCTAACCTCTGCCCTACTGCACTTTTTAGGACTTGCATGCCAGCTGAACATAATACAACAGTCATTATCTTATATCCCTAATTTCAAAT